TGGAATTTTAGACATGCAGAGATTTTCTCACTTTCTGTTGCTTGTAGACTCTATGCACATACTTCTGAAATTTGGCTCCAACGAAAAAGATTTAGATAGAGCTGAAATGCTTTTGTTTGAGTTTTGTAGGTGTTTAGAAGAGTTGTATGACCAATGTTTTTTAAGATTAAATGTCCATCAACTGCTCCATTTACCAGATTGTGTTAGGGATCTTGGCCCTCTCTACACCCATAGCTGCTTTTCTTTTGAAAATAAAAATGGAATTGTTTTAAAAATGATCAGAGGAAGTCAGAGTATCGACACTCAGATAATTACTGCAGTATCATTTATACAAAAGCTACCTGAATTAAAACAGAAATGTGTTATAGAAAATTCAGAAGTTGATAAATTATGCAAAGCTATTCAAGAGCCATCTTTGCTTAAGAGGGGTCAGAAACTGGGGAATGGGATATACATTCTTGGTGCTCCAAGCAATAGAGTATTGACCAATGTTGAGACTGCTGCACTCCAAGATTACTTGAAATATGATCCTGTTTGTGATACATTTAGAAGTTTTAACAGAGTAGAATATGGATCATATATAATTTATGGCACTGAATATTCTAGAACGATCAAAAGAAACAATTCAGCTATTTGTTACAATGGAATGAATGAAATTAGCTTTGGAGAAGTTAAGTTTTTTATTTTGTTGGAGGATAACACTGCAGGTATTACAAAACCTCTTGTATTCGTTAAGAAAATACTTTGCAGAAATTACAATGTCAACTCAAACCTCTTAGCAGTTACTGGTACAAATGATGTTGAAGTTGTAAATATAAATGATATATCAAGTTGTATGCTTGTTTCTTTTCCTGGAGGACAGACCTCATTCATTTGTAAATTTCCAAACAGATTAGAATCTGACTGAAATGGTCCAGAATTGTGTGTAGCTCAGAGTGTGTGTATTACATAAGATGATATATACATATATTAACTAAATGTTGTTGTTGATTATGTTTCTCACTGATGGTTTTATTCCATGTTTAAAATACATTATTAAACCATGTGGATTAATGTTTGTTGTGGATTATGTTTCTCACTGATGGTTTTATTCCATGTTAAGTAAAATATATTTTTAAACCATGTGGATTTTTAACTTCTGTGCCAAGTTAAAATTGTAAAGTTATTCTACCACATTCAAAAACCATATTGGATAAATGTACAAAGATTGAAACTTATTATAGAATTATAATTTTTTGGTGGAAAACAACATTCAAAAAAGAATTAAAAATAAATGAAGAAAAATCAGATAAATCTTATTTTATTTTCTACAATTTATCCGGTGATTCACAACTTTGATCATATAACTTAAAATGAAGGTTTAATTTGTTCATAGAATACCAAGAGGTTATGCTTTGTTAATATCAGCAAAAGTCAGTTTTTAAATTTGTAAAGATTTGATGGTCAACAAAATTGACTAAGTTCAATATTTCGCTTTAATGAAAGATCTATGTCCAACATTCTGTCTAAGTGATCAGGCTGAAATTTTCTAAGTTTTTTTTCCTGGTTAATCATGAAATACGCCTAAAGTGACAGGCGGAATCCGCTTTAAGGTTTAAGCGTATTCTGCCTTGTCTTAGATGGAATTTTGAGGTCCGTCTAATATCCACCTAAGGTTAGGAGGACTTAGATGGACTCCGTTTATTTTCCGCCTGAAATTCAGATGGAATCCGTCTAATAGTTTCGTACGGGTTTCGTCAAGTTTTGATTTGCAAGCACCTGCACCTGAAAACAACTAGGCCCCTTGTTTAGCTGTTTAGTTTACAGTAGGCCTATAGTTCTATATGCTTTTCTCTAGCTGCAGAACTGTAGCGTTATGGTTTTATATATTAGTCTAACTCTTTGATTATGGTCAAAGACTAATATATAAATACCATAACGCTACAGTTCTGTAGCTAGCTTTTGTCATACTAATGTTAGTGAACTATTCATCTCTTGTGAGTGCATGGCATTTTAAACGATAGATTTTATGAAATACGTCAAACTACAACACTACCTACTGTTTCTTCTAGAATTTTGCTCAATACACAATACTCAGGTCCTCGCTCAGAGTCGCTGTTTTCGTTTTTAATTTGTCGTACTACGGTTGTCGTAAATATCATAAATTATGTTTTTCATAAACTGTTTTCAGCAATTAGAGATTTTCATTGTAATAAATTTCCTAAACATTCTATATATAATCAGATAAAATACCGATATATTGGGTAAAATAATTTACGACACTAGGCTATCACCGGAATTCCATGAATTCGCTCGGTCTTTTTCGCAACAACAACTGGGTTACGGAAAGGACCGACTTCGATTACTGTTCTATATATATATATGAAATAGTGTTGATGACTTGTATGATTATCCCTAATGCATATGATTTATACAAGAAAATTGCATAGGCCTACATTTATAAATTAACTATAAATAGAAATATCCAGTATACAGTAATGATCAATATAGTTGCAAATGCTTGGGAAATAACTGATTAAAGAGAACCTTTATTCTTGTGTTTTTATCATCTTTATTCAACACAAAGGCTATATACCAGAAGCAGGAGGCAGTTACAAAATTAACTAATGGAGACAGAAACCTTGCAATTGACGGTGAGAATTGAACATTGGACAGTATCTTCCCTGAACAATATTCTTTTGGAGAAGATTCTGTTAGAGCATGGGGACAGCTTTTGGAGTAGGTGATGGTAAATTGTTTCATTTACTTTTATCTTGCAATTGGATACACTGAAAATACTGTATGTGTACATATATTGGTGTATTCAAAATTTAGCACAATCACTGGGTATGGAGTGGTTGGCGTAATCATGAATTAGCGCTACATACGTCTGCGGCATGTATTGTATTTATTAATGATTGATTTAAGGTATTCATTAATTGGTGCATTGTTGTCTGCGTTAAAGGCGATAAAATATGAAGAACAGGTGCTTGGGAATGGGACCCCCTCCCCCGCGTTCCATACTCCAAGGGTTCTCCCCGACTTTTTTATAACAAAATATATTTCTATGACACATTCACAAAGTATTACAATTCAAAAATCCAAAATATAATCTAAAACTAACCTATTAAAATCATACTCTCTGATACTAAAAGTTCTCTTTTAGTATCCGAGAGTATGAATTTTTATAGGGGAGGGGGGTCCCGTCCCCAAGCACCTGTGATATGAAGCCTGCTTTTTTAAGTACACATGCAGGAATTTTGAGGCAATTTTTTTCAAGATGTAAATACTAACTACTAGCTTAGTATTATATACATTTTGATAAAAATAGATATGCTTATATACTTGTATTTGTTATCACATGAAAAATGTAGTAGATATTAAACAATTGATTTTTGACTAAAGTATACATGTATGTTTTTTTTTCCAGGGGAAAAGATGAAGATGATTATTTCAAGTATCACTTTTCAAACCCATTTAAAATTCTTCTTGACTGGTCAGACACAACACCACATAATGGTCAACCTCTGATGTAAAGAGAAATCATGGAAACATCAAGCCTAGCTGTTTCTATTGTCTACAAAATTGCTATATAGCAGCTATTTTCTACATTTTTTTTTATCTCTATGTACACATTTTGGATAATGTTTAGATGTAGATTCTTGCTTGATTAATAATTAGAAAAAAACTGTTTTTAAAAGTAACGATAAAATTATACATATACACATGAATATGTGTATGTTTTCCGTATGTAAGACTATACATTAAAATGTTTTATTTTTAATGGGGTGTTAATTTATGGTCAGTCTAAATAATTCTAAATTTCTCTTACCAAATAAAATTGATATCTAAAGATTTGCATCTGGGAACAAGCAAAATTTAAAAGGAGGAAATTAACATTAGCTTATCAAATTTCAAACCTGCTGAATTAATACACTGTATCTACCTACCTATGCATGAAAAAGTAATAATTTATTATTTATTTATTATTTTTGGTTGAAAAGTATCATTAGAGTTTTAATCCATTATCTTTTTCCATTTTTTACCTAGTATTTGAAAATGTTGTTTACTGAAATAAGTTCCAGTGAAAAGTTGAATAGCTAATTTTCTTTAGTTTTGAGTTATCTGCCCTTTGTAAAGGATCATACAGAAACAATAATAATTCATTTAATTTTATTTTATCCTATTTATTACCTTTAATAATATTTACTAATCATTCCGTTTGTCTTATTTATTAGTGAGAAAAATGTTTGGAAAAGAAATTTTATAAAACAACCAGAGTCTAGTAACATTTTGAACAAAATATTATTTGGCAGAATGCCAATTTTCGAAGTTGAAAAATATCGAAAACGAAAAAAATCCCCACTCCACTTTTCATAAAAGTTAACTAATATTATTATGGTGTTTCTAAAATTTAAGGTGATTTTTTCTTGAATTGCCTGCATTTCTTGAAAGACTTCTTGAAATATAGGGTAAAAACGACCATTTTCAAAATGTAAGAATTTGGTCATCTTTGAGCCATCAGTTGAAGAATTTGCAGGTGACTTGTAGAATTTTTTTTATTGTGTTATATAGTTCTTCATTTGTTCTATTCATATAATGTATGAATTATCTCAAAATAATAAAGATGATTAAACCACAAGAAATCAAGTATATAGCATTTTTATGCTTGAATTGAGAGTAAATGGGGACAAAATCTATATTAGCCCGTTACCATGACAACCAAGGTAGTAACGTTGATTTTGAATGTTGATTATGTCATAGTGTATGGGCATTAATCACCTGAAAAAGTTTCATGAAAATCGCTCATGGTGTGTGCCACAGCCCTACAGTAAAATTTTGGTCCTTACAGAGAATTGATGTTAAGTTTTAAGAATATACTCTTACAAAATTTGTATAGATTCTTTCACTGAAAAGCTATTTACTTATCACAGAGACATATAAAATGTTTTATATGTCTCTGCTTATCATGTTTATTTTTGCCAAAAAATTACAGCTAGCCTACCAGAATGCTTCTGGGCTACAAAAATTGGAATACGGAAGGGTGTGCCTCACTACACAGGAACCTTGGAAGTGGGTCTAAAAATGGGGAAAATTATGTAAATGTCCATTTTTCAAACCGAAGAACCCTCTATACACTGCACACTAAAGGGTTCTGATTCTGTGGTATTTTTATGCAGTTAGAGTAATCTGCCATTATATAGATCTAAAATGAAATAAATTGAAATCTACAGTTTATCAATCAATTTCTAATCAATTGCAGCATTCTTAACAATTAAATTAATTGAACACCACATCAGCATGCTTTTTCCCAACTTAGATAAACAACAGTGATTTCTTTCTTGACTTGGAACATTTTACCTGGGGGTAAATGCCAGGCACACTATGTTGAAAATGATGTTAATTTATACGCTTAGTCGCTAATTATTTATACCTTTATACAATATAATTTTCTCAATGTCCAAAAAAACATTTTCATTTAGTGTAGAGAGGGTCCTTAATTCATTTTCCATGTTTTCATGTCACAAAGTCTTCTCGCAACTTTGAGGTACCCATCCACCTGTCCAATATGAATGATTCCATTTTCAGTGCATGTAATCTCGGCGCAGCAGAAAGACGCGCATTTCTCAAGTGGACGATAAACTGACAACTAGAATTTTTGATATCATAAACAACTGCTTCTTCAATAGAAATGGAACTCGTCGGAAATTTTCGTATCATGTCAGTGATTGGTCAACAAAATCACTCTCATTCTACACAAAAGTACTCTGAAGTTGTTGGAATTTTGATGGGCACTAATTGTGCTCCTTTATTGACTGACTGTTTTTACATTCCTATGAAGCAGAATTTATTCAAAAACTTCTTTACGGGAAGAAGAAAACACTCGACATTCAGATATATTGACGACGTTTTTAAAATTTCAATTAACCATAGATACTCCCATTCGTATATGTCGACTCGATATATCCAAGTGAACTTGAAATAAAAGACACCCGAGTCTGCCACATCTATTTCATATTTGGATGTTTTACTAATTATAGACGAAAATGGCCATCTAACAACAAAATGGTATGACAAACGAGATGATATCAGCTTTTCCACTGATCATCTTTCTTTATTTATGTAGTAATATTACGCTATCACCTGCATATGGTGTTTATGTCTCTCAACTTATACGATACTCAAGAACATGCTCTTAGTACGATCAATTTTTAAGTCTTGGCAGGTTACTGACAGATAAGTTGATGTTACAGGGCTTTCTACGTTATTTCTTTGGTCGTTATAATTATCTTGTTAACAAATAAAACCTATCACTGGGTAATATTTTGGCTTACGTTTTTCATACCAATTGTTAGGCCTTTGTTTTTATATTTGACTACGGAATGTGGGCTCACGGCCGGTGTGAGCGGTCAACAGGGGATGCTTATTCCTCCTAGGCACCTGATCCCACCTCTGGAATTTCCGGGGTCCGTGTTTTATGTCCAGTTTACGGATTTGTATTGTATATAGATTTTTTTTTTTAGATCGATCACTTTTTGTTTTCGTCACCTTTTTTTATTTTTCGACATACATATATATCACAGCCTTCTTTTAATTAATGTCAATTATTCGTCTTAAGCACCTGCTCTCAATTAATTGCAAACACACGGAGTCTGCTTTCGATTTCTTTATTTGTTCTCCAGATCTTAGCAGCATGAAAAAAGGATACTTCTATGTTTTCCTTGATATTTTCCTTGATTTCCTGATATTTTGCAGTTTTTAGCTCACCTGAGCTAAAAGCTCAAGTGAGCTTTCCTGACAAAGCATCTTTGAGTGAAGGGGAGTTTAAATTATTAAAATAAAAGGCCAAGTTCCCTTCCAAGGCGAGATAAGAATAGGGTGGGTCATTAAACAAGAGGCCCATGGACCACAACACTCACCTGAATAACTTTGGCCCTGGTGTTCTTCACCACATTTCCCTTTGTAATACTCATTGTGGCCCCACACTACACCAGGGGGTCTTGATTTGAACAATTTAGAATCTACATTACCCCAGAAAGCTTCTACATAAGTTCCAGTTTTTCTAACTCAGAGGTTCTTGAGAAGAAGATTTTTAAATAATTTTTTCCTGTATGTTTCAATGTAAAACTTGGATTCCCTATTGTGGCCCCACCCTACCCCAAGAGCGATGATTTTAACAATTTAATATTTAAACTACCCCAGAATGCTTCCATATAAGTTTCAGCTTTTCTGGCCCAGTGGTTCTTCACAAGAAGATTTTTAAAGATTTTTTCTATATATTTCAATGTAAAACTTGGATTCCCTATTGTGGCCCCACCCTACCCCCGGGGTCATGATTTGGACAATTTAGAATTTACACTACCTCGGGACCCCTGGGGGTAGGGCGTGGTCCACAATAGGTATTACAAGGGGAAAATCAGGTGATGAACAGCAGGGCCAAAGTTACTCGGGTGAGAGTTGTGGCACATGGGCCTCTTGTTTAATGCTGCTGTTGCTTTTCCTACTTATTCTTTGACATTTCCATTCTTCCTAAGTAGCAGGACTGTCTTGTCTCTTCTGGATCTTTGTTGATGACTTGCATTTTATTGCTGCTCTTATTGATACTTCTGTGATGTTGTAAATTTTGAATTTAACGGGTGGCATTAAATACAAAATTTACACCATAGGCTGTCATGTTGTAAATTCAATTTTTACATGACACTTCTCCTGATCTTGATGCTCAGCGTGTCCTCTTCTTTATAATGTTCACTGGAGTAACTTTTTAAAGTATAATTTAAGGAGATTCCTAGAATTGAAAATGCAGTTCTCATGCATAAAAACCTACACTTACTAATTAGAGTTCATATGCAGGATACATTATTGTTTCGTAAAAGTAAACTTGCCTGTCTGTTTTTGTCATCTGCAAAGTCGATGTCTTCCAATGCGGCTGTTCAGTGTATTCCGCGTTTTCCCATGTCACCTTCTTCATCAACCAGCCAACATTAATGATGATAAGTTGAATCTCTGACTTACACCAGTTATTTCAAGAATTTTAACTTGAAAACTAGTCCTGAAGTTTGATCTTTCGTGCCGAATTAAACAAACTGAAGGTGATCTTTCGTGCCAAACTGACATCTGAACCCTTCAACTGCATTGGGTATTTCGTACCGAAAGGAAAAACTGAATCTTTCATACATTTCTTTAGTGATATTAATAATTTTGTGTTATTCCGTACCTTTCCATTATTTTCCAGGTCGTGATACAATGGCCTTCTCAGAAGCAACAAACCTCTCCATTGCAGACTCTGTCCAATGATGTAACAGAAGCAGAACATGTCAGTATTTGATTTTTTTCTTTCTAAACCAACTTTGTTCTTTCCTTGAGATGCTAGCTACTTTTCTTTTCTTTTTATCATGTAAAATATTACACAGAATCTTCCCTGGTACATAGTACAGGTAAAAGTGTGATATCTCTCACTTGTTGCATTGTGTTTGATCCCCTTTCTTTGATTTTTTTCTTTTTTTTTTTTACAATGATACCTTCCTTCCATGCACTGTCTAGACACTTTCTATTATTTTCAGATCCTGTTGATGGGAGGGTAGACGACTACCACTTAAGTCATCATTTTCTTTCATTGTTTCAATCTTGTTTTTGGCCCTGTTTGTTGTTCTTCAGTTTTCTAACAGATCTGATCTGTTTAATTCGTTCGTTTGATATAAACACAGATGTTGATTGCAATATTGTGCGTGTATAATCCATTTACTCACGACAGAAGACTTTAATGAGAACATAATAGCATCTTGTTTTTTAGACGTCCAGCATACCCCCCCCCCTTCCTCCCCCCGAACACAACAAAAGCCTTTGCTGCCAAAAACTGTTTCAGAAAATCTTGATTTCGTTTTTTTTAAACTTCATACCACGGGTATGAAGCATGAAATGACCTACTTTTGAGAATATGCACTTTGCGTATTTTATATTGGCATTTAGGTTAAACATATTGTCAAAGACGTAAATCTGATAAGAAAAAGAAATACCATAATGTATTTTAACAAAACGTCTAATTATACATAAATGCGATAGTCTTATTCTAGGAGTGATAATGTTGAACGTGGTGGTTGCATGGACGTTAATTCTGTCATTCAATGCATGGACGAATACCAAACCTTCACACGTCCCTTTCACTCCCTCGCAGAAATCAAAAATTGTCTTGGTCGAGATTATTTTTTAGCCACATGTTTAGTTAATGCCTGAGAATAAACCAAGCCCTATTTCATTGAGGGCCAATGATTAAAGTCAATACACTTGAATCTAGCTTAATCTTTCCCTCTTAAGTAAATAATACCAAAGAAATGGAAACGTAAATATAACTCTAAACTCTCTCAAAATATGTTTAATGAAATACGATTTTTGCACAACAAATGTCATTTACAGCATGTCGTGGTTGAAAAAAAGTTACCCTGTATATCTATATATAGAAGCCAATACTGATGTGAGATATCAACTCATTTTGCTCTTAAGTCCATTCATAAAATTTACATACTATTTATATTATATACACACATAAACAGTACTAAATCAGCATGAATATTATTGCACAAAATATATAATATAGTATCAATTTTAAATATATATAAACAATGTTATAAATTTGGTCGGAACCAATTTAGACATAAATACATATATATATTTTTACATTAACTTACAACATATTACCATATCCATGAAGCCAGATTCGTGAAAAGATAAACATGTAGATTTTACAAGTAAATGTAAGTGGTTGTCACTCCAAACTTGGCAGAATTTGCAGCACTGGGTGGATCGCCAGGATCATTTTCGTCTTCCGGTTCAATTTTCCTTCCACTAATTTGAAGAATTCTTTGCGCAAACTTAAACTTATACTTCAGTTCTCTGAAATAAGCATGTCCTTTTGCATCACATAGACGCAATGCCTTTTTGACCACAGGGTGCGAATACAGATCGTGCGTGTTGAGTGCTAACTGAAAGGTCAAAGGCGAAGAAACCGGAAGTTCCAGCATCGTGAAACCATGAGGGTCTAGAATGCAACCAAAAAGGGTCGTTTCTTCGAAAGAGTCTAACAACGTGAAAAGACCCGAGAATGACGTCAGACGCGGTCTGTTTCTACCGCTAAGAAATCTGACAACAATGGGAAACTTCTGCGTAGCAATCAGATTTTCAGCATTTACAGACATTCGACCATTACCCACGGGACTTGGCAGAGCCTCAATAAACTCGCCTGGCTGTGACATCGGGATAAGAACATCGACATCCTTTTCGTCTTTACATTTCAGGTACTTGATTTGTTGAAGCTGGGTTGACTTTCGAGAAAGGATTGATTCCGATTTCACGCGAGCGGTCCCCATGAAAATTTTTTCCACAAGAAAAACGTTTCCAGGTGTGTAATTTATCTGGAGATGTTCGTTAGACTGTGGACTTTTTGAAAGTTGGAAAGCCACCATTTTACTGAGGTTCAGGAATGCCCTAACTTTGTACTTTGCCAAAGACTCGATGCTTCTGTGGCATGTGTGATCTTTGGCTGTTCTGGACTGCAGACGCAGAAAAAGACCTACAAGAAGCAAGAAAGGGTAAGAACTGGAAACTTACATAATTAAAAACAAAATTTAAACATCATAACGCAGTTATTAAAATTTGAACTTATGCATTTTAGTATTATATTAGTTTTTACAAATACATTCAAATTAGATCATCTCATGTTATGTAATATCATGGTTTTCCTTTGTCAGAATACTGCGGTAAGAAAGGATCTCATATAACGGTGATTTATCCTTTATTGACCTAATGTCACCTTCGTTGTGTGTGTCCCCATGACCATTTAATGTAGCACTCATGGAGTCAGCAAGACATGTTTAAATATGTTTTTAAATATTTTACATTGATATTTATGTTGCCTTCGGGGATGCGCTATATAGAGGCATTGGCTGAATAGTTTAACTCTTTTCAGGAATATAATAGCCAGTTGTCCCAACACTTACTGGGACTGTCCCTATTAAAAAGCTTATTTAAGGACAGACGATATACGTTCCTCAATAATATATATATTTTTTTTAAGATTTTGACTTTGAAGTATTGCTACTTTAACATGTTCACTCGCAAAAAATTGAGGTACCTTACCAGGCATTTGTACAAGATACCAGAGGATGGTGTTTCTTATATTATCCTTTTGGAAAAAAAAACTTAATTAGCCAATAACACATTTTTTAGTGTTTCAATTTTTTAAAGACAATTAGAAACCAGTTAAGAAATCAAAAAGTAATTAAAATTTTGAATATTTTCCACACAATACGAAGATATACAAAACAGATATTTTAGGAACGTATCGTCTGACCTTAAAATCTTAATAGTCGTGTCCACAAATTAAAATAAGTAGGTAACTTCACGTTTATGAAATATTTTTTTCATTAAAAGAAGATATTATAGCAAACTGTGTAGATTTGGATTGCAATTGGTGAATAGTATACTCTTAAATATATTTATATTCACTTGACCCCCCCCCCCCCGACACACACCCAAGCACAATTTAAAAGACTTATAATGTCCTCACCCAACCAAAATATATTTCAGTGGATTTGGGAAAAACATTCTCAACATTTGTCAATTGTGTGAGAGAAAAAAAATGTACTCTACACGGATGCCCATAAATTTTAATTAATTTCAATGAATTTTAAGTTTAATGATCTCTTCGCACTTTAACACACACACTTTCATACAATGCAATATAACTTCTCAAAAAGAAATAATAATAGATTTAGTCTGTAGTGTATATTCATCAACTTGTATTTTAATCGCTTATACACCTTTATCATCGTCATGACAAGATTGATGTTGAGTTCCTATACAATATATAATGAAAATGTACATTGGTTCGATCTAGACGAAATTAACGAAATCATAATACTTTCTTAAATATTATTACTAGTTTTCACATTTCGCGTTGTATGGGCTTATATATGTAAGCATTTGTTCAACCTTCAATTAATGATATTTGTGAAAAGATGATCCAAGTAAAATTCCATTACAAAAAAGAAAACAAAATCATACTTGTTCAACTTGTTTGAAAGTTTTTTTTCCCAATGCATTTTTTTTATAAGCCTACAATAGTTTGAGCAGGGTTGCAAAACTGGTTTCAATTATAGAGCAGTTTTGGTGATGTCAGTCTGGTGTCGTTTTGACCAATAAAGCTACAGACGACATACAAAGAATAAAAGCTCTCTTTTCAGCGAGAATCCATGACCACTTCAATGCTGTTTTGAAAAGAATTTGGGTCGTGCTGGTTTTGAATTGTTGCTATTTTACTTAAATTTGACAAAAAAGTAACATTCTGAGGATCAGTAGCGTTTTTTCAACACAGCGCTTACACAGTATGACATAGAATTATATGTACATTTGCTGTTTTGTTTGTTTGTTCGTTTTCTTTTTAAATTTATTTCTTTTATTTATTTTGACGTTGTTGTTTTTTCTTCTACGGTTTTTTCCCCTCTCAAAATGACAGTCGCACGACAATGCTTAATAAAAAGATTTACTTCTCACAAGTTTGACATTATTAACTAAGTACATGAATTAGAAAATCTTACAAGTGGAATTTTTTTTAACGAAACAACACAAAGTAAATAACAGAAAAAATATGGAATTTGTCATCATACACATGAAAGTATAAAGAATAAACCCACCGTCGTAATCGGCTGGAATGACCACAGTTTCGTCATTTTCACTGTAACGCTGCGTTGCAGGATTCATAACAACATTCCTGGCCAAAAGCTTTCGAATAGTTCGTTTGTCGTGGAGAAGAATTGGTTGAGCCAGATTGATCGGTAGTGGAACATCTCGCTTGACCAAAATGGCCTGCTGATTACACTTCACAATTTGAGGTAGAGTAAACTGCTGGACAATGTCTTCTGCTGTAAACGACTGTGTGCTCCATTGCGCTCTGGACTGCTCGGGGTCATTGTTGTTCTTCTCTCTCCAGGAGTTGGTCCGACTTTGTGTGGATCCGTTCATCATGTCTATCTGGAAATGGAAATCATTTATGTGATTTATCTATTGAAACAAGCTACCCACGTCTGAAAGATTCGCTCCACTTAGAACGCACTTTTCAAGTGCCCTATTCGGATCGATGCCTTGTTTAAAAACCAGACCTACCATGCCAAGTAAATTCTTTCCAATCCTTGGATATAAATAGTAAAGTAAATTACATGAAGAAAAAGCACTAACCTCGTCTTTCCAGTTTGCATTCAGGACTGTAAACACGGAGCGAAGTTTTTATGAACCGGTTCAATAGATTATGAAAAGCATTCAAGGCCCATTCAATTCACACTTCTGTCTCTGCTATTGATATTGCGCAAGGCAGAGATTACAGGCCAAAAATACAATAGAAACAATTAAATTTACCTGGACATAATCTCTTATAGCTCGAAGAAATTTACTTATTTGAAAGGGTAAAGTTTTTGTTCTTAGACAATTAGGTCTCTATTTTATCTCATTTTGCAATGATCGATTTGCTCTGAATATATTCCTAGAAAGGGATGCGTGAAAAAGGGTATGGAAAATATCAAACGATTCCTAAGAACTTTTTTTCATCTTTGCACGCATTTATTTTTTTTCTTCTTCATCACATTTATAACACAATGGAGACGTTACTGATAAAGACAGTAAAAGACCATCACGATCTGGAATGCAGTGATTAAGCACAGCTTAACCCTATTTTCTATTTTTAAACTGCAGATTAAATGAATTTCAAATTGTGACACACCTTCTATAAAGGCGATTTCTAAAAGATTTAATTAAGGACACTTAAATAGGCGCAAGCGAAAAAAAAATATTGCATGAATTGATGTAGTTTATGTTTTCACACTTATTTTTATTATAAATAATGCAAATATCAAATTCCTAAAATATTGAGAAATTGATTAAATTATCTAATGACGTCCATTTTTTTTCCTTGTCGTTTCTCTTCTAAACAATTTATATTATAACATTATTGAGAACTCTATTTAAAAAAGGTTTTGGACTGAACTTATTCTGAACTTGTACATGAATAAACATCACGTTAATATCTATTTCTGTAAGTTTGCAGATATGCAATGAAAATGCTTTGTAAGTGAAAAAAAGTGTAAAACTTATTGTACAACTAATATGTTTGTTCTAAATATTTTTTTTTTTTTGGTTTCCTTTCGCCATTTCAAATATTTTTCTCATTCTGTGTCGGTCGAAAGTAAAATTTACCAGTGAAAAACTAGAGCCATAAATTGTCTATGTCCAGATTCCCTTAATTAAATACGCCATCATAGGACAACCGTAAAGAAAGAGGTACGAGATACTGAAGTAATGTGTTTTAAGTAAAGAAGATGGGCGAAAAAAAGCGAGCAAAATGCCCATTGCGTGACAAAAAAAGAAAAAAAGTTTTATTTGATATTTTATTTAACATTTAAGTATACTTTATGCAAAGTAGAGGTTTTTTTTTGGGGGGGGGGGTGTGATTGGTTAGTTGTTCTGTTTTGTTTTATTTTGTTTGATTGTTTGTTTTTCTCTCTTTTTTTTTTTTTTTTTTTTTTTTTTTTTTTTTTTTGTAAATTTAGAGCCAAGCGTAATTACTTATTACAGTAAACATTGATTTTGCACATATATTATTTTATTATCTGATTCCTAGTCAAATGTCCCAAGTGTTCTCTTATATATGAATACATTAAGAACGAAGCAGTATCAAGTTTTGAAAAAAAGTTTTATATCATAATACTCTTAAGGGTGGTAATAAAAATTCTAAAACCTTGAACGTTGACAGGACACCGGAATCAATCGGAAGATAATTTCATGGCCGTAGGAACCGGGGGGGGGGGGGCACGGGGGGGCCGTGCCCCCCCAATAATTTTGCCGATATATAGATTACTATAGTAAACATAGATAATATGTGCTTGTGCCCCCTCAATAAAATCGTCTGATGACCTTTTTTTTTTTTTTTTTTTTTTGCTTGTCAGGAAATTTTTGGTAGTGCCCCCTCAACGTCAACTGAAAAATGTATGGCTGTGCCCCCCCAAACTGAAATTGCTTCCTACGGGCCTGAATTTGGCTTATGTTCGAAATGGAAGATGACTTTGAGGAAGAAGAAAGTCTGACGTTTCCTACGGCCATGTATGGTGACGTCTCTATATGAGAGAATGGGACGTTAAACAACATACAATCAATCAATCAATCCTGGCGACGAAGGAGTAGTCAGAGGGCCAAGTCATTACTTTTCTTAGCAAACCCTGTCTGACTGCAGGCATAATTATCCAGGCATTGGTACTAAAGTGTGTTGCTGAATACCGAAAGTCATGATAAAGACTTTCGGTATCAAAAATGAACTTTGGTATTGCTTAGTGGTTTTGCAAGCCATCAAAGTACACTGAAGACAATCTGGCTCATAACATATTGGATCATGGATGCATCACAAGAAAACGGTCTGAATGTCTATGAAACTAATGTGGTCACGTGTTATGTAATAAAGCTCAGGTTGGTTCATGTAAAAGTGCTTTCATGTACGACCAGGGAATGTTCAATATATCACACTTCAGTACACAAAATTATTACTCCATTTAATCCTTGTAAACCCCACACAGATTTGATAGCGTATAACCCAACTAAATTGTCCAATAATTGTCACCCTTCCCGTTTTATCTCCATCCTATCTCTTAAAATAAATCCCCCAGAAAAGGTGGACCCATCAGAGTGATACTAAAGCAGTGTTTGCGATATGATGTGTATTTATTTCTTATACCGATATTAGATAGGCAGTCTGTATACATATGTTAATTTCCTAATACAGGTATTTACTTTAAAAAATGCACAAAAATTCATGCTCGACCAGGCGTTTCAGGACACCGATTTATTCTAGGTGAAGCTAAAAAAAGCGACAACTTCAGAGAGAGGAACCTTAACTTTGTCGATTTCAAGTTCACTGATGTAGACTTTCCGAATGATTAAACGAAAACTGACCAACATTCTAAAACATACAAACAGCAATGGGGTCAACCTGTCAGATATGCAGTGGAGTTCCCAGAGTTACACATTGAAGAATATTGTGGATAACTTTAAACTTCCTCTTGTCGTAAAATGTAGTGACAAAACACCTGAAGTAGAACTTGGAGAGTTTAAGTTTGATTTGGCTGAGCCCTTGCTGCTTCATTCCAGGAAATGGGCCAGAAAAATCCGAGTGAGTTGTCTCGAGAAGGATGCTTTGTCCGCACAGATCACAGAAATCCGTCCCCACTACGTCATTCCAGAGGAATATGAGGGTAAATTTTGATTATAAATTGATAAAATTGAGAAGTATAAATGTTTTAAGGGTTTACTTAAAAATATCAGTTATATTAAATTTCAGTGGGAAATTAGCCAAATATACATCAATGTTGAATAGCCATAAAATATGACACCGTTTTATCGTCATTAATTACATATACAGGTGTACGAGCAAGACCCATTAACATGATTTCGGAAATATTCCATGTTTTCCATTAGTGCATTTGAAAGCCTGGTGGGATTTTCTTACCAGAAATAATACATGTATATGGATCAGTAATGCCGTTTGATAGTTGAAACGGATCTCAGTCTTGTCCCAGGCAATATTGCTTAAACAAATGAACTAAAATAGTACATAAGGAAGCTTACATTTCTGGCCCTTTGATCAATAAGAAATAGATTTTTAAAATGACCTCGCTTTATTTTTTGTCTTCTTTTGATTATCTCCCCTTGAAAGGTGACATAGCCCTTTATTTCAACTTTTACTTTTTTTTTTTTTAAATTTTCCACTAAACAGGGGATCGATATAATATACATGTATAATATATTTTAGTAAATGCATATATTTAAAAGGGGAAATGAATTTCTGTTTACTCAATGATGCTTTATAAAAAGTTTGGTTGAAATTGGTCTAGTTGTTCCGGAGAAAAGATTGAAAATCAGGTAGTTTACAGTTAGCAGATAGACAGAGGAACAATTAGTTAGTACGTAGTACCGTCATAAAATTTATGGAGCCTTTTGCACATGCGAGCTAAAAATACCACACTGTAGTATATCTGCATAACGGGGAGTTAAAACGATGAAACAGGATAATTCAGTTATCAGAGAAAACGGCGAAATTATGAGAGTTATAGTTTCCTTTGAGAAAATTATTTTAATTTGCATGTGTGGAAACCATTACTTTTAGATATCTGTGGAGAGAGAGGTGAGGGATCATTTAAATGCTTTTGATCGCATTGACGTGCAAGATGATTAGTATGTCAACTATCAGGATCACGTACGGCATGAAGTAACAAAATATAATTCCTTCAAGAGCAAATTGTGCCCACTTATTTTTTGTCGACATGAACCTTACTTATATTAACAGGCAAGGAAATTTTGTTTACATGCATACAACTTATTCAATTCTAACTGCAAGATTGAGTATATTTACATGCATTTATGTTTAATATTTTCCTCGAACAATGAAAGCAAAGACTTTTTGTACAGAAGAAACATTATATAAACATTTTATTATTATAATACATATTTTAAAACAAGTTTTTAGCTCTGAACGAAGGGCTACATTAAATTTTTTTTCTGATCGAAGATCATCAGCCGTCTGTCTGTCCGTGTGTAGTATGGCCTCTCTTCAGAAACACATTCAACCAAACTTGTCAGAGTATCCTTGAGTAAAGGGGATTAAAGTTGTCAAATTAAGGCAGGCTAATTAAGGATCTTGCCCTATTTTAAGGGGAATTAGTTTAGAAATAGTGAACATTTGGTTGTTTATTTAAAAACCTTCCCAATACCTCCTGGGGTAGAAAAGATGAAACTTATGCGAGAATTTTGTTTTCCTACGTAATTCAATTTTTATCATCAGCTTATAAAGGGAAACAGCACTAAATATTACATCTCCAACAAGAGATCCATGTATGTTAACGTTATGCTTAAGATTTATCTTGCAAATATAAGCACTTACACATGTAAGATGTTAAACATGGGCACAAAAACACCTTTAAACTGAGTTTAAAGGAATTTGTGCATAATCACATAGATTTATTTTGCACCCTGATGTTATCTTGCATTTCAACATAATTTATGGAAGGAAAAAAATTCAAATATATACTACCATACATTTCAAATTTTTGGCTTCAAAGAGCTTTCTCATTTTACGTTTTTTGATATTATGGATCACATGATCGAGTCACTCAGGTGACCTATTGCAATCTGTTTTCGTCCGTCGGCGTGCGTCGTTCGTAAACCTTTGAACATTTTCAGCTTCTTCTTATGAACCAATTCCAACAAATTTTGGTAGAGCAAAGGGGAGAGGGGCAAAAACTGTGAATTTAATGATCCCTGCCCCCTTTAGGCCTGAGGGGTGGGACCAAAACCATTAAAATTAATGCAATCTTCAAAAATCTCCTTTCTCTACTCCTGGACATCAAGCAGTCAGACGGTTGTCATGATTATAACATATAAGTCCTTTACCAAAATTGTGAAATTCATGGCTCCAGGGTCAAGGGTTCTCGAGTTAGGATGGGGCTCTATTGATCATATAGTGAATTTGCATACGTTCTTCAAAAAGCTTCCTCTCTCTCTCCCTGTTTATTACATAAGAAACTAAGTGCATGGTTATGATGAGCAAAGGAGCTTCTTCTAAAATTGTGAATATCATGGCCCCTGGGTCAGAGGTTTTGGTGTAAGGGGGTTATTAATTTTATAGTGAAAATGCATTATTTCTCAAAAAAGCTTTTCTTTGCTCCTGGGTATTTGGTAGATATACTATGTGCATGGTTGTGATGAGCAGGGCTGCCTTTTCCGAAATTGTAAATATCATGCCATCTGGGTCAGGGGTTCTGGAGTTAGGATGGAGCTCTATTGATCATATAGTGAAATTGCATTATTATTTCTTTTTTTTTTTTTTGCTCCTGTGTACTTGGAAGACATATCAAGTGCGTGGTTTTGATGAGCAGGGGTGCCTCTTCCACAATTTTGAATTTCCTGGCCCCTTGGTCAGGAGCTCTGGTGCTGGGGGGGGGGGGCTATTGATTATATAGTGTAAATGCATTATTTCTACGTATTAACAATGTCTTAAACGAGGCAAGCTATGGACAAACAAGTTGATGAAACAAGCATATCAACAGCCTCGTTTGAAGTCATCATTTCGAAAGTTTTATGGTCGATACAATGACCTTGTCAGCAAATACAACCTATCATTAAGTCAAATGCTGACTGACGTTTTTCATACTAATTGTTGGGCCATTATTTATACACTGAATTGTCTACGGATTTTTCCGTTTTTTACTGATCATGTCAAGGAGCACACTGCGGGTGTGACCGGTCGGCAGGGGATGCTCACTCCTGCATGGCACCTGATCCCACCTCTGTTTTTCAGAGGTCCGTGTTTGCTGAAGTGGACTTTTGAGTTTGACTACTGTTAGTTATCTCCATATTTCATTTTTTTTTCAAAATCTTCTGTTCTTCTGCTGAGAACCGGTCACGGGAGCCTAGTGATAAGGCGCTCGCTTCGTGATCAGGAGGCCAGGGTTCGATTCTCGTTCGCCGCGCCGCGTCAAACTTAAGACGTAACCATAGGTAGTGACTGCTCCTTCGTCAAGCGCCGGGCACTAGAAGTGAAAGTCACATGTCTTTCGGATGAGACCTTAAAAACCGAGGTCTCGTGTCACGGTAGGCGTTGGCACGATAAAGAACCCTTACTGCTCAATGACCCTGAGTGCCGAACATAGGTCTAAATTTGAAGCCCTTCACCGGCGTACGGTGACGTCTCTATATGAGTGAAAAACTCTCGAATAGAACGTTAAACAACATGCAATCAATCAATAAATCTTTACCTGGGTATTAAGCAAACAAACTAAATGCATAGTTATGATGAGTAAAGGTGCCTCTTTAAAAATTGCAAATAAATTTCACCCTTGGGTAAGGGGTTCTGCTGTTGGGGGCCTGTTGATTTAATAGTGAAAATGCATAAATTCTTTGAAAAATCTTCTTATCTGCACCTGGGTATTAAGCATACAAACTAAATGAATAGTTATGATGAGGAAGGGTGCCTATTCCAGAATTTGAATTTCAAGGCCCCTGTGTCAGAGGTTCTAGTGTCAAAGTGGGACTCTTTTGATTGAATAGTGAAAATGCATAAATTCTTTGAAAATCTCCTTATCTGCTCCTTGGTATCAAGCAGTAAAAATAAGTGCATGGTTATGATGAGCAAGGGTGCCTCTTCCAAAATTATGAATGTCATGGCCCTTGGGTCAGGGGTTCTAGTGTTCGGGCGGGGCTCTATTTATTTATATAGTAGAAATATGTAAATTCTTTGAATATCTTCTGCTCCTGGATATTTAGCAGATAACTTATAAGTGCATGATTATGATGAGAAAGAGTGCCGCTTTCAAAATTGTCAATTTTATGGTGACCCGAGACAGGGGTTCTTGTGTTGAGGAGGGGGGGGGGGGCTCTATTCATTATATAGTGAAAATTCATTAATTCCTTGAAAAATTTCCCTTCTGTTCCTGGATATTTAGCAGATAAACTAACTGTATAATTATGGTGAGCAAGGATGCATCCTCCATAACTTTGAAATTTGTGGCCCCAGAGTCAGGGGTCAAGTGAACAACTTGGCCAAGTATTCTGATGCTTGGTAGGGCCCTTTTAATTAATTTGTATTCTACTGAAAGAATTTATTCCCCTTTGCTATTCATCTATGATAATTAATCACTGTAAATGATGTAACTGAAATGTCAAATTTTACAAGGGAAGGGAGGGGGGTAATATCTAATACAAGAAGTACTTTCATAGTTCTTAATGGTCAGGTAGACTTAATTGTTAATTATAGATAAATAAAAATGAGACAAGAATACCTTCTCTTTGTACATTGAATGTTCTTCATACACCAAGAGAGGCCAATGTGAGAGGGAATGAAATGGGTCTACCAACTATGCTCAAACACCACTGTTTTCTTTAGTTTACAAAATAATAGTGACAAATGGGGGCAGGTACAGATAAGTAAATAGATCTAGTTTAAGATTTATCAAGGAGTACTCTACTAATTATTTTGTTGATCCCTAACCATTATATTTCTCGTGCTTTTGGGCAACATGCTTCATCTATCAGTTTGTTGTATTTCATACTTTTATGGATTATACTCAGGTGACTGTTAAGGCCTTTGGGCCTCTTGTTAAAGATAAGTTATTATTGCAAATCATTTACTTATTTATTTATTTTAAAAAATATACATCATATATATTGGATACTTATTTTACACACAGGCTGGTTTCAAGAAATAAAGAGCCCAACTGAAAAGTTGACGCCCGATGCCACTTTAGAGTCATTGATAGAAAGCTCGGCCGACCAGTTTCTATCAGCGAAGAGTTTGAGTTGCTTGTCTTTAGTGTCAGATGGTAATGGATCTTCAACATTGGTCAGAAGACACGTGAAAAGTGGAGAAATTTTGACAGTGAGGGGGTTTTACGAGGGTGAAGGTAAACAAAAAGCCCAAATAAAGTCTAAATATCGTGAAATTCGACACGACGGACACACTCCAACAAATGACAAATTTCTCATCTGTGCAGATGAGAAGGACGACAATGTTTTGATAGACATTTCCCAGACAGGCTGTTTTTACAGGATTTTTGAAAGTGAAGAGAATGGCAGAGGACTGCTGGAAGCTAGAGATTTAATTGATGAGGAGGATAGGTTCCCTGTGTTGATCCGACACGTTTTCGGTGACTTGCCGCTCTTGACGTCGGCTTATTCTAGCGTTATGAAATGTGGGAAAGTTGTCCAAGAAGAGTCGGTTTTGGCGGCAACGTTAAACGCACCATCATCTACTCTTCTAGAACTTCAGTGCCACAGTCCCATTCGGTTTCAAATTTGTTTGAATGATGCAATACTGAAAACCTTGGAAAACTGTTCAGAAGCATTGCAAATGTGCCATAGCGAGGGTGACGATTTTTTGTCTGGCATCAAGGTAGCGTGTACCATACAAAAACTAAGTGACCCAATGTCAGAACAAACTGAAAACAAACCTCCCTTGAGTGAAAAACTAAATAACTCTCCATCAGATGCGTTTACAGTGACTTCTAACGATTCAGATGAATTGGTTTCGGCTCAAGATTCGTTCAGCGATTACGGAGAAGAGGATGCTAACTCAGAGTTTTCATTCGCTTGGACTCCAGAACCCCTGATTAAAAATCGGAGCAACACAAAAGAGGATAAAAATAAAACCAAAAAAGATGAAAAGAAACCAACAGTTCCAAAATTTTTCAACAGTAGCCTTAACAGTCCCATGTCCTCTAAGGAAAGCAGGCTCAACGCTTGGAATGAACAGCCTGACGTTGTTTGAAACACTATGGATTAATATTGTTTGGCTGTTGCAAGAGGAACTACTTATTACTAAATATATTGTTCATTCTTAAAACAATAATGTGTACATATATATATATATTTTCTGCCTTAACTTAAATACCATGAATAAATATAAATGAGATGAGATGTGTGATATTTTGTGACTACACTGTATAATGTCAGTATTAGCCAGAGATCTTCATATGCCCCCCCCCCCCTTTTTTTTGACGGGGCAATTTTTTAGGACTGCTTATTAACGTAAAAAAGTTATAAAATTATTAATTATTTGTAGCACAGCTAAAACAAGCCTTAAAGGTCTTCCCTTAAAGGTGAGGGAGATAACACTATTTATTTATCCCCTACCCTTTTCATCATTCTTATAATAGAAGAAAATTTAGCTGCAGAACTGTAGTTCTCTGCATGGTTGAGAAAATTCCGACAGACAAACCAGAGAGCTACAGATCGAAGCATTGTAAAAACCTTCGATTTACGGCGACGCTTTTTTTCGCTCGCTTAGGTATTACTTTTGGTTTTATATACGTTTCCTCGCATTATTTCCTTTAATTAGCTATATACATGTATTTTACTTTTATTCCTGATACTTTATTTACGTTTAAACGGTTCCAAACAGCCATATATGGCCTTGGAATGTCAGCTTTAAAAATTCGCATTCTGACGTCCATGTTGGGGTTTTGCTAAAGTAACACGCCTTGAACAATGTTGAAAGGTAAATAAAGTATGTATCAGGAATAGGAGTAAAAGATATGGTTAATTAATAGTCTATAGATATCGTGATTTAAACGAGAGAACGTACATTATACAAGAAATAATACTCGAACTGAGCGACAAAAAAGCATCGCTATAAATCGAAGGTTTTTACAATGCTTCGATCTGTAGCTCTCTTTTTTGTCTGTCCGAATTTTATTCAACCAGAGAGCTACAGTTTTGCAGCTAAAGAAAATTTAAATATTAAAACAAAAAATGTGTATGGTGCACAAGCTACATGTATCTGTGTGAAGAACTGACTTCATCACAACAAACACATAACCTTTTAAAAGCAATTGCACTGGATAATTACTACTGCCAACCATGATTTTAGCTCACCTGAACTGAAAGCTTAAGTGAGCTTTTAGCTCACCAGAGCTGAAAACTCAAGTGAGCTTTCCTGGTCACCCGTTGACCATCATCCATCTGTAAACTTTTCACATTTTCAAATTCTTCTCAAGAACCACTTGGCCAGTTTTAACCAAAGTTGGTACAAAGCATCCTTAGGTAAAGGAGAGTTTAAATTGTTAAAATGAAGGGCTAAGCTCCATTCCAAGGGGAGATAATCAAAAGACAAAATTAGGTTGGGGTCATTAAAAAATCTTCATCTTAAGAACCACTGGGCTAGAAAAGGTGAAACTTATATGGAATCTATTTGAGGTAGTGTAGATTTTAAATTTTTCAAATCATGGCCCCCAGGGGTAGGGTGGGGTCACAATTGGGGGTCAAATTTTTACATTGAAATATTTAGGAAAATCTTCTTATAAGAACCATTTGGCCAAATAAGGTGACGCATATGTGGAATCTTCCTGAGGTAGTGTATATTCTAAATTGTTCAAATTATAGCCCCTGGGGGTAGGGTGGAGCCACTATAGGGAATCACAGTTTTACATTGAAATATATAGAAAAAATCTTTAAAAATTTTCTTCTAAAGAATCACTGGACCAAAAAAGGTGAAGTTTATGTGGAATCTTCCTTAGGTAGTGTAGATTCTCAATTGTTCAAATTATGGCCCCTGGGGGTAGGGTGGAGCCACAATAAGGAATCACAGTTTTACATTGAAATTATATATAGGAAAAATCTTTAAAAAATTTTCTTCTCAAGAGTAATTGGGCCAGAAAAGGTGAAGCTTATTTGGAGTCTCCCCGAGGTAGTGTATATTCTAAATTGTTCAAATCATGACCCCTGGAGCTAGGGCAGGGCCACAATAGGGAATCAATGTTTAACATTGAGATATATATATATATATATATATATATATATATATATATATATATATATATATATATATATATATATATATATATATATCATTTTTTAATGTGGAAGAAGCCACAGGTGGTGTAGATTCAACTTTGTTGAAATCTTGAACCCCAGGGGCAGAGTGGGGCCATAATAGATAACAGATATATTTGATGAAGAACAGTAGGGCTAAAGTGACTCCGATGAGCATTGTGGCCCATGGGCCTCTTGTCTGATCACCTGTTGTTCCTCATCCATCCATCTGTCTGTTTGTCCTTCTGTAAACTTATCTTGGTCTACTATAATGTAAACTTTTCACATTTTTTCTTCTTCTTAAGAACCACTAGGCTAGTTTTAACCAAATTGGCACAAATCATCCTTGGGAAAAGAGGATTCTAAATTGTTCAAATGAGGGGCCAAGCCCACTTCTAAAGGGAGATAATCAAAAAAAGGCAAAAAACAGGGTGAGATCATTTAAAAATTTTCTTCTCAAGAACCACTAGACAAGAAAAGCTGAAACTTAGGTAGAATCTTCCCGAGGAAGTTTAGCTTCTAAATTGTTCAAATCATGACCCCTGAAATTAGGGTGATGCCACAATAGGGGATGAAAGTTTAGCATTGAAATATATATGAAAAATCTTTAAATTTCTTCTTCTCAAGAACCATTGGGCCAGATAAGGTGAAAATTATATGGAAGCTTCTTGAAGAAGCATATATTATAAATTGTTCAAATTTTGACCCCCAAAGTTAGGATGGGGCCATAATATCTTGGTCTACTATAATGTAAACTTTTCACATTTTTTCTTCTTCTTAAGAACCACTAGGCTAGTTTTAACCAAATTGGCACAAATCATCCTTGGGAAAAGAGGATTCTAAATTGTTCAAATGAGGGGCCAAGCCCACTTCTAAAGGGAGATAATCAAAAAAAGGCAAAAAACAGGGTGAGATCATTTAAAAATTTTCTTCTCAAGAACCACTAGACAAGAAAAGCTGAAACTTAGGTAGAATCTTCCCGAGGAAGTTTAGCTTCTAAATTGTTCAAATCATGACCCCTGAAATTAGGGTGATGCCACAATAGGGGATGAAAGTTTAGCATTGAAATATATATGAAAAATCTTTAAATTTCTTCTTCTCAAGAACCATTGGGCCAGATAAGGTGAAAATTATATGGAAGCTTCTTGAAGAAGCATATATTATAAATTGTTCAAATTTTGACCCCCAAAGTTAGGATGGGGCCATAATAAGGGATAAGAGTTTTACATTGAAATATGAAAGTAAAATCTCACATGGGATTATATAAGATTTTTTTTATATAATCTTCTATAATATCTTATAAGGCCATGTTAGTCATATTGATATTGGAGCATCCTCTTAGTGTATGGATTTAGAGACCCCTTAGAGTTAGGGTGGAGCCATATTATGGGGTCACAATTTTTCAAGGGAATATAAAAATCTTTTAAAAAATTTCTGAAGAACAGCAGGGCTAAAGTCACTCAGATGAGCATTGTAGCCCATGGGCCTCTTGCTTTGCAATGAAATATTGATTACATTTCTGGGTGATCATGTGTAAGCTGCAATTGCTGTATTTTTATCCCAGTAAAGATCTAGCTACAAGTTTGACAGAAAGTTTGATATGAACTATTTAAATACAAGAAGCTGGATACAAAATTTGAGCATACACTGTACTAAGATGTGTAAAAGTACTGTTTCTTAGAAGGTCCCTCTTCCTGAAGGAACCACTTCTGAATGCTTACTTTGTTACATACTGTCTACTATAAAATATAAATTGGCTGAATATTTTGCTTGCTTTATTCTCAGAGTCCCTTTAAAACAATATAATATACATGTATGACAAAGAATACACAAATTTGTTCACCACCAATATGAACCTATATGATCCAAAATATAAATACTTGTCCAAAATATACAGATGTACATGTATTTTTCATATAAAGACAGTAATGTTATATCAAATCACATCTCCACCAGAATATTAAAACTGTTAAAACACAGCTGTATCAACATGTAAACTATAATGCTGTCACCATACAAATATATGTAATACAAAAGTTGTACTTTATTTATCTGATTGTACCACAAAGACAAGTTTTTTGCTGAATATACGAAACAGGCACATTTCTATACTACACTATAAATAAAATGCTTACTTAATTTAAAACACAAACTTAACAAATCTAGCACCTGCATTTTCTACACCATACAAAATTAATGGTTTACTCCTGCAATTACCTTTTGCCAGTTCATTTTTTTTACCCAATATTTGGACCAGTAATAGCTGAAAAAATATTATATTTTTCATAAAGACCAAATTCTTTCTGTGTGTGTTGAATATTTCATGAAACTTAGTTCTAAATTGGTTTTACTCTATGTACTTAAGGAAACTCTAAACACCAACAAAAATACATTTTTTTTTTTGACTTTAAAAACATTGTATCATAAAAAGGTGTACACACTGAGTTTATCTAGTTCATTTTCAACACAGACTACCTGCCTTATTTGAAATTCCCAAGGAAAATTGTTCAAAGACGCTGGAGTATTAGTGAACAGAAATCACTGTTGTTTACTTACATTGGTAAACAACATTTACTGTACTCAGTTACTTTATCTTGGTCTACTATAATGTTAAGAAAACTTTAATGTATTACAAATTGTCTCATTAAGTGTAGATTTACTTCTATCTTACATCTATGGGCAGATCATCCTACAATCAGAGCTCTTTAGAGTGCACAGTTTAGAGCTTCCTTAATAAATCAACCAGAAGTGTCTAGAGACTGTAGCTCTACTGGTGTGTATTTGGTGTATGTTAGATCTAGTGTACTTGTGTACCAAGTCTTATTGAAACTTATATTGGTGAATATTTATATTTCCAACAATTTTCTCTGTGATAACTCTATGAATGTGTGTTGTTTTCTCAATAATTACAACTGAATGCAAATTTCACCAAGGTCAGTTGCCTAATATACAGGTAAATCTCCTGCAGCTGTCATTGTGTTCGACATCAGTGGGCAGGGACTATGGAAATTAAAATGTCTTGTGTTTTTCATACTTAATAGACAGCATTTTTAAAATTTATAATTACATTTTTATGTTACATGTAAGGAATCACTTTCTAGTTTGTTGGGTATTCCAGGGACAGTTGGAAATGTGGGATAATTTATGCATAATGTGAAAAATTCCTTGAATATTGGCCTGAGTAGGCTGTACAAATGCATAAGCTTGTCTGTGCATTTTTACTGCCAACAAATGCCAATATATTCACCAATATAAGTTCTATAACTCCTTTATTATATAGCTAAAACATATTCCCATTGATTTATGTTAACTTCTTAAATACAATAATTTAATAAAATCATTCATTTTTGGTACCTACATTAAAAGTGTGCTATATCAGCATCTGTTCTGAAAGTGTTCAATAGTACATGTCATTCCATTAATCATACCAAGCATTACGATTTGCTGATTGAGTTTTTTTTATTGACCTTATAGGCATTTCAGTATTTGGGTAAATAATTACATATGTGTGGAAATAGACACATCTTTCCTAAGCTCCACCACCCATCATTTGCCATTGTAAGATTGAGCACACAGCATTTTTTTTTTGTTTAAAACAGTGTTTTCGATATTGAAAGCTTGTATTCGGAATGTTTCAGGACATACTCGTATATGTAATGCAAACTCAGCACAAGTTTAATAAAATGCTAAGATATTGAATGCCAAAATCCTCTAGATTTTTGGCAGTTTTTTTATTAAGACTATTTATAAGGTATATCATAAATAGAATTATGAATCTTTGTATAGTGTACTTGTGTACAAGATCTTATTGTAGTAGTTAGTAATGTTTTAATGTGTTTTGAAAGAATTTCACAGAAATTTCTATTTAAAGTAACCATGGCAGCACTGTTTACCAAAATCAAAAGCCGACACATAGAATTACCGGGGTATGTATATTTTGTGTACGGACAGACAGCTAGACTGATGGACGATGGACACCTTACTATTGCATAAGCTCTTCTGGTCTCTGACCAGTAGAGCTAAAAAGGGAATGTAAACATCTGAAATACTGTCAATTGTCTAAATTCTCATTAATAAACTCAATATTGCAGACATGACTTCATTTAGATACAACAATATGGTAGACACTGGTAACTGTACACCAGCTTTGATAACACCGTGCAAAAATTGTTTGTAAAAAAGAGCAACAGTCCCTCACCATTTGTTATCATAAAGCAATCACTCAGTCCACTCTTATGAATACAAACTTATTGAAATAAATTTATGTAAAATTGAGGAGAACAAGTTTGCACCTTTCACACATACACAAAAGTTGATTTACAAAACCAGTTTTTAAGTAGAAAAAAAATTCACATTAATAATGGCCTTCAAGTGAAACTTACAAATATTCATATATGACTAGCATTGATAGGTTATACATTATACATAATATACACATATGCAATGCAGGTATATAAAAATAAAAATCTATTTCATCCATAAAAGAAATTCACAAAATAATATGTTTATGTTCAACAACCAAATCTAGCACCATGCACCTAGGTAAAACAAACCTGAAAACCACTAATAAAACAAATATATAAAAATGTATGTTTAGAATCCCCTTCATTGGGAAAACAAAGACTATACAGAATAACTAGAAGAAATCACTACAAACTAATTTATAAACTTTGAATGTTTCCAACACAAAAGACAATAAAACTACATGTATATTATGGAATTACATGTGAATTTTTAAAAGTATTTAATCACAGGATAAAAGCTAGCTAGAATAAATGATGTAATTAATGGAGATGACAACAATTTGAGAAGAGAAAAAAGTCTTGGAGAAAAGGGGGATAACTATGATTTTTAAGAAGCTAAAATGTAGACATGATTTTCCTTAAAATCTCATTCTCTCAAAGCATTCTTGCCAATTGCTCCTATGTTATTGTGAACCTCTAGCTAGAAGCTGCATAGAAGAGTACATTTAGACCAAGTGCATCTCATTATGAGCTCTAATTAACTGGAGCAAGTGAAACATCACCAAATGCCAACCAAATGGCACAAAACAATATATAACATTCTAAAAACATATACAATGTAATGCTTAAGAATAACACAGAAAATAACTTGTACTAAATCATCTCAGGTACAATGAAATATTAAACATATGAGACAATAAAAAGTTTCACATTCATTACAAGCAAAGATCATTCCTTTACATAAGACTGATGTCACAAAATTTTGTAATGAACCTGGTTGATTAAAATACAATACATACACATAATATATACAATCCCAGAGTTAGATATATATATATATATATATAATGTTAATACAAATTAAAGATCTATTAATTAGGGATGTAATGATATACTGGTATACCCCAATACACAAAAAATTGTACCATATTGCTGTACAAAAACCATATACCTTTGTATCACAGTATATAGCATTTTAAGCAATTCAAATTATTTCTTTTAAATTAAACCTAATAAAACTGATTTTCTTTATTCACTTCAGCTATTTTTATTGTGTTCAGAGTTTATTAAATGTTACATAAAGTATATGTGACAGAATCTACAACTTTTGTCCTTTCACGTTGTAATAGAGAGTTTCTCATTTAAGAACAAAGACAAAAAAATTTTATTTTAAATATAAAAGGTGAAATATTGTTATATGTATCATGATACAATCCAAGTGTATCAAGATATATCATGATACACTCTATTCATATCATTACACCCCAACTATTAATATTAACAGCACATATTTCCAGATTAACCTCAATATACCCTAATGTTTATCAAGAAGCCCTTGTATATACATCACTACTCACCTGAGGCATTACAAACGTATTAGAGAAGATAAAATTAAATCTCTGCTGGAGTGGTTCTGTTTGGCAAATTAAATTTAGAACTACCACAAATTTAAAACTTGCCCATCAGATAGGATGCTGTGATCTAAATTTAGTTAAAAACAAGTCATCAGTTCTTCAGAAAAATTCACATTTAAGAAAAGACAGCAGAGACAACAGACAAATTTGATTAAAATAAAGCAGATGCCTTTTGATCAGGTGCAAGACCAAAAAACATAAATAATTTGTTCATAAGTATAAAACATGCATGTAATATCTATGTCATACAAATAACATATTTAACAAAACTTGGTCATTTTTCTGTGATTTCACTTAAACTACAAAATATGACATCTGTAAGGTTGTGAAAAACAGAGCATATACCACAGAAACTAGTAAAGGAACAAACTTGAAAATATATCCATACAATTCATTACAAATCATTAGTTTGGCTAATTGTGTTATTTTGCCTAAAATTTTCAGAGTAGAAAAAGCAAATTTCAAACTTTTCACTTGTCTTACTCAACCCCCCCCCCCCCCCCAAAAAAAAAAAAGGATTCTGCAATAGATTTAAGCAGAAACAAAAACTGTGGTATAACGCATTAAGCCTTCATGTTGATAAACAAAGACCTCATGAATATTTGAATATCTATTACAGGCAGACCTTGAAAGACCACACAAGACACACTTTCTTAGAATAGATAAAAGTTGCAAAAATGTGTGGCATGAAACCTACCTTAAATTCCATTCATATCAAAATTTACTCCTGTAAACATTCTGCCCAAGCCTACTCATTGTTTTGATTCAATATAAAGGTAGAGTTATCAATGTCCCCAAACTACAAGTACATTTTAATGAACCCAATTTTCCTTTTTCCTCAGGAGATTTTGTAATTATATGTATCAGAATCAGCATATCCATTTGCTAAAGAAAAAAATGTTTGCATTCTTCTCCATCAAAATTTTTGCATTTAATTACAATTTCTAACTACTCGGTCATTATTATTAAACATGTATACAACTAGGACATTATTGATAATGTATGTACACTTTTGACAAAAAAGACTGGCCCACTCCTAATAACTATAAAACTAGAAAATCTTTTAATACTGTTGATTTCACTAACTTTTATCCTTGTTGTGTTCCATTGGTTTGGCTATATGCTGTTCTAAATATTTGTAATGATCAAACAGAGTTGCTAATAATCCATCATTATTTTTCACTTCTTTCCGAGAGGAATAGTCAATAAATGCACCCTCAAGTGTAGTCATTTTTCCATGAAATGCAGACAAAATAGCATTTCCAGCACATATATCCCATTTCTTTATTCGTGTGGTATGCACATAAGCATCTGCTCTTCCTCCCACAATTTCCAGTGTTTTAAAACCTAAAAATGCAACACATTTATTCATTAACCTCTATCATACTAATTTTTCTTATACATGTACGTTAAGGTATTAAATCAGTGTGTCTAACTTGAATATTAAAAAAAATTCTCTTCATTTTTGTTTGTAAACAGGATTGAAAGAGTAACTTTTCATTTCCCATCTAAAGCTTGAGGATTAAATTCTAGAGTTACCTGCTCCTCCAGCATAGATAATATTTGTGTTGTTTCCCAAACTTTTCCTGACACTTTCTGCCACATCTCCTGTGTGGGATCGAGATATGATGATATTGTGGGGGTCACCCTCTTTCCTGTTGTTTTCTACTTTTTTAAGATTTGATGAATGGCCAGTACCAACCCAAGCCCAAACTGTAATCCACACAATTCAAATATAATATGCATAATGAATTCCATGCAGAAATGCTCAAGTCCTGTTTATCTCATGTTTAAAAACATTCTATGCTTGATCTTTGTAAATGTACTTGTTATCTTTTCTCATCTAGGAGTGTAGAAGTTTTAATTACCTATAGGATTGTCTAATATGCTGCATATGTCAAACAAGAGGCCCATCCGTCACAATGCTCACCCGAGTCACTACCCTGCTATTCTTCATCTACCTATTATAGCTAGATTTAACTAGATTCAGTCCAATATATTCCTCTGTAAAACAGTTTGCCATTGTGGCCCACCCTATCCCCTGCGATGATGGTTTTAATAAACTGATTCTACACACAACTTAGAATGTTTCTATATTAATATGACTTATCAGGGCTTTGTTGTTCTTGAGAAGATTTTAAAAATTTTTTCCCAATGTATTCCTATCATGTAAAACTTTGATCACTTATTGTGGGCCCACCCTGCCCATGGGGGTAATACTTTAAACAAGCTTGAATCTATGCTACCTGAGAATGCTTCCATAAAAATATGACTAATCAAGGCTTTGCTATTCTTAAAAAGAAGATTTTAAAAATTTTATTCCTATATATTCCTATGTAAAACTTTGCCTACTGTGGCCCAAAAAACCCCAGGGGTTATGATTTAAACAAACTAGAATTTTCATTCATTTAGGAAGCTTTCACATAAGTTTTATATCTTTTCTGGCCCAGTGGTTCTTGAGAAGATTTCTTAAAACACCCACCCTAATATTGCTTTTTCTTGATGATCTCCCCTTCAAAAAAAGCCTGACCCTTCATTTGAAAAACATTGAATCCCCTTCACCAAAGGATGCTTTGTGGCAACGCAATTTGAAAAAATTACGCACTTTGAAATTTTTTTTCAAATTGCTTTAAAATTGGGACAACAACCATGCACTTTGACAAAAAATTTCAAAGTGCGTTAAATTTGGGACAAAATCAACGCACTTTGAACATTTTTTCAAAGTGCATTAAGAGTGTACATCAACATTTTTTACCATGAGGACACTTAATGCACTTTGAAAAACTATGTATAAAACAAAAATTCTGGACTTAGATTTAAGAAATAGACAGCATTATTTTGTTATATTTCTTTCGAAAAACTGATGAATTGATCTACCATCATCGAGAAGAAGGAGAGGACAGGTAGAGGGTCCCTCAGCCCAACTCTTTATCTTTCCTACCCAAATATATGTATTTAATACATAGTTGGTATGACATTGATATACTTTCTCTCAATAAATTTGAGTTAACGTAAAATAGATGAAAAACTTGAGATAAGCTTTCCTGAAAAAAAAAAAATAACGCAACCTATCATATTAAAGAAGATAGGCTCAGGGGCCATATCACTGATCTGAGCAACAATAGCCAATTGACTATACTTTGGCCAAAGTAGCTTTTAATTACAAATCAAATCAAATACAATACAAATAAAAAAAAAAATTCTATAAAATGCATAAATAGTTTTTTCAACCTCTTAATACTAATCAAATAACTGTAAAAAAAAAAAAAAAAAAAAGAAAGAAATCATTGTGCGGGAATAAGCAATTTTTTCATATTTCTAAATACATATCAAATAGCTATAATTACCATCAAGTCATGCAATTTTTTTTTTCAAAGTGCGTTAATATGGTCAATATTAACGCACTTCGAAAAGAAATATTTTTTTTCAAAGTGCATTAAGTTGGTCCCAAATTTAAAGCACTTTGAAAAAAAATTTCAAAGTGCGTAGTTTTTCAAAGTGCGTTGTAACAATGCTTTGTGGCAAGTTTGGTTGAATTTGGTGTTAAGGTTCCAGAGAAGAAATGGAAAATGTAAAAAGTTAACGAACAGATGGAAAGACAGATGGCTCAATATGGTTAGGCTAGGTGAGCTAAAAAGAGTCAAGAACTTTATTCTTTATAAGAAATTTTTCATTTAGCAGGTGGATTACCTGTTTTTTTCTCAAATGGCTTGTGTATAACTCCAATTGTTGGTTGCCCATTGACGGCCACACATATCATAACTGTCACAAACTTCTGCAAATTTTCTAAAAAAGAAACAAAAAAATAAAAGAACAAAAAAAAAAAACAAGAGGTCCAAGGGCCTTGAATCGCTCTTCTGATAAACTGTACAACCTATCACTTCTATTTGAAGCCTCTAAGTATCCTGTATATTTAGATAAACCCTTGAAATTCCAATTCACACTCTGAGAACCCAAGATGATTCTAAGTCAATTAGTACCTGAAATATTTAATTATAGTCATATAAATTGAAAAGTAGGTCACAGTGACCTACTTTTCAGTTGACGTTTTTTGAGGACCCAAGATGCATCAACTTACAAAGTTTTATGATCATAGGCCTTAAAATGTCCAAATTATGCCTCTAAAATGCTTTGAAATCGAATGCCTGCAAAGTTCAAAAAGTAGGTCATTGTGACCTACTTTTTAATAAATATGTTTTATGGCCCCAAGATGCATCATCTTACAAGATTTAATGATTCTAAACCTCTCGGTATTCGAATTAATGGCCTTAATTGTTTTGAAAAAGATTAGCCATAAAATTCAAAAAGTAGGTCAAGGTGACCTATTTTTTAGTTGATGTACTTTGAGGACCCGAGATACATCAATTGACAAAGTTTGATGATCATAGGCCTTAAATTGTTCAAAATATGCCTCTAAATCATTTTGAAAAAGAATGGCTGCAAAATTTAAAAAGTAGGTCATCATGACCTACTTTTGAGTCAACATGATATGAGGTCCTTAGATGCATCAACTGACAAGATTTGATGATCCTAGTCCTTATAGTAAGCAAAATATTAATATTTTAATAAAATGTAATTTTTGGTCAACTTTGAAGTGACCTTGAGACCACGCCCTTTGCCCCAGGGTAAATCCCCGTGCAAATTTTAATCTACAACATATCCTCATCCTTTTGTGTAAGTTTCGTGATAATCTGCCCATAGGTTCTTGAGAAGAAGATTTTTTAGCAACCAGTACTTTTGTTTCTATTTTCCTAATGACCTCCCCTTGTTTAAGGGTCACAACCCTAGTTTTAGTACAAATGGGAGCCCTTGGGCCAAGGATATCCTGTGACAAATTTGACAATAATTGGCTAAGGGGTTCTTGAGTTATGGCCCATATTCTAAAAAGTTTACGCACACCACACGCCGCACAAATGGCCATAGCATTAGCTCTTTGAGCCTTTGGCTCAGAAGAGCTAAAAAAACCCACACACAATGAATAATTTTTTTTTTCTTCAGCATCATGCATTTTCTCTTTAGTACACTACACTTAACTGGGCTGTGTATAGTGTAACTGGGAGAAATCATCTGGGTTCCAACAATGCATGACTTTACAATTGAACACAATCTTTACTTTTTACATTTAACTTGCAAACTGTAAATCTAGACTGCATTAAGATGTCATGTTATCATTGTTATGACATTAAAACCATTGCTAAATAAGTGTGGGACAATACACAGACCTTGGGATATGATACATATCTCGATACATGTGATAAGATATGATACATGTATCATGATTTATTGTAATAAAACAGAAAATAATAATGTCATCTTGACATTAAATCAACAAAATATTTTAAATCAAATCAAAAGTGCTTTGAAATTAATACTTGTAGTTCATCAATATCATTGACTAAAAATTCAAAAAAGCAATATTACAGGTACACATTGCCAAATGTTTATAAACAGGTTCGTTTACAAATAATTGATCCATTATTGGTTCAAAATATCAAATTCTTATTTCTTTTCATGAAAATTAGAGAATCCACACCATCTTTGTTCAGAGTTGCCCTCTGGGAACTGGAATGGTGAAAGTCCCTTTCTCTTAAGAGAATACATGTACCCAGAGGATACTAACTAGTAACAATATCCCCAGCTGTGAAAAGGATAATTTAAATATGTATATTATATTACACGCTTTATAGACTGCTTGACTTCTGTCAACTTTTCTCGTTCCATTTTCCGAGGTTGCTAAGAAGCTAAAACATTTCTATGTCTATGACTTATTATTACAAGGAATATTTTCAATATCAATATCATCTTTTTGCTTTATTTGCAAGTCCCTATTTTTCAAACTACTTTCATTTTTTGAAAAGTGTTAGAGTATCATATCGTTCTTATATTTCAATATATGTATCATAAACCGTATCTTAGCAGGAAATATTGGTACGTGTCGTAGTATCATCCCACCTCTATTTCTAAATCTGTAAAAAAAAATTACCTTTGTATTCTTGTGTAGCATCTAGAGGGTCAACCCAAACAGCCACACTGTGAAATGGCACAGACATGTCATTCTTAATTAATTTGTCCACCTCCTCATTTTTTGAATTAACATTTTCTATCAGCTTAAAGCTAACAGGCCTAATATCTGACTCCTCAGAAATAACCTGAAAAAAGGGAATTTTCAATAGTCAAATATGAGGAAATTTGTTGAATTTTAGAAGTAATTATAATGGAAAATTTTACAGTATTGAGTAAATATTATGCCTATCAAATCATATATTTAATATATGATTTGATAGGCACAACTCATTGTATATTAGGTGATTTCCAGTCATTTCTGGCTTTCAGTGTTTTGGACTCACGAGTCATGACATTTTGGATCCTATCATTTTGGCCTTTTCTTTTTAAGGTCTTCCGTCTTCACGGAAGACCTTATAGTGATTCTACTGTTTCTTATTATTAAGGTCTTCCGTCTCAACGGAAGACCTTCTTATTATTCTGTTGTTTCTTTTCAACTTTTTTTTATTATTATTATTCTTACCGATTTTGTGCACGCGATTTCTCGTAAATGCATCGATGGATTTTCATGAAACTTTCAGCAATGATGGCAAATTACATGAACTTAAGGCGTTTTTTTTTATTTTGATGATTCACTTCCGGTCGCGAGTTATATTTGATTTTCTCTTTTTAAATTGAAATTTTGTCTGTGCCTCTTTTCAAAAACGGTTAAAGATGGAGTCATGAATCTTTCTGGGATAATAGATCATGATCTGTACATTTGTCTCCGGTGTTTCGTTTTTTCCGGCGTCACTTCCGTTGTCCACCGGAAGTAGCTTAAAAATATGCAATTTTTGAATTTTTTTTATTTTTAAATGTTTATGACATTGACATATATAGTGTTTCAAGTCATTTCATTTCCACCGGAAGTTGTACTTATAAACCGGAAGTTGTCCAAAAAATGAATATTTTTCATCCAAACTTTCAGGAAAGATTTGTACACACTCATTGTGGAGTTTTAAGTCGTTTTGAGCACTTCTTGTCATACCGGAAGTGAATTTAAAAGAACCGGAAATGGATTGAAATTAAAAGATATCACTCTTTCATGTGTTTCTAAACATATTTTGAATAATTCAGTCGCCTATTTTATTCACTTATACTTGTTCTTCCTTCTTTTCTTTTCTTTTTTTTTTTTTGAGTAAATCTATCACAGTCAACATCATAAATCAGACGGAAGACCTACTCGTTGCTTTGCAACGAGCTTTGCTCTAGTTATTATTATTTTTCTGACCATCTAATTTTGTGCATGCAATTTCTCGAAGACTACTGTATGGATTTTAATGAAATTTGCAGACAATGTGTTGTAATCTGAAGTTATTTTCTCCGAGAGATTTTTTGGAAAATCACTTCCGGTGCTAAGTTACAGACCATTTTCTGAAATTAAAAAGACATTTTGTCCGCGGATAATCTCAAGAATGGTAAAAGATATCAAGATATTCAAGGATTATAGATCGTGATAAATCCCAGCCGGAACGTGACTTTTCGTTCGTCGTCGGTACTTCCGGTCGTTACTGGATGTGAATTTAAAAAGTTGAATTTCCTAACTTTTTTGTTTTTCAATATTTTTCTTCGATATAAGTAGGGTTAATAGAAGCATTTCCAAAAAGGCTTAATATATAATTCGTTTAAAAATTGATAAATCCAAACTGTAGATATTTGCATTTCAAAATTTGAAGTGGGTCCAAAATGGCGGCTGTCTCCGTAAACTCCGACGAGCAGGTCGGCACTCGGAGCTCCTCGGGTGGCTGGTACCTCGCACACTAACCTTGGACGTCAATGGTGTTCTACCATGTTGCTGATACAGTCATGTGATCTTATTTGAAATTCCTCCAACCTTTGAAGTCTGAGTTACTTTTAAGCACACCCAGCACTATGTTTTGCTTTCAAAGACTACTTACATGATGTTGTAATCAAAACCAATATCCAAGAAAGAATTAGACAAGAGAAAAAAAATGTTTGAAGAACTTTATGCAGAGTAAAATATGAAATGAGTTACAAGGCAGTTTTCGGCGGGGAAATGTAATCGATTTGATGCATATTTCTCCACCAATCACTTCCGAGGTTTGTATGGAGCATAGCGGGGTCAGTCGAGGATTGCCGATTGGCAGGTTGGAGTTTACGGAGACAGCCGAGCGTCTTGTTGAACGAAACTACCATAAGGGTTAATGAAATATGAAGCAATTGTTGGATCTTTCAGATTATGAAATGGATAATCTGTCTTTGACAACATATTAAATACTTTGACCTCCAAATGCAATAAAATGAGTAATTTGTACGGAACATACAATAATATATATATGAGAATTGAGACCATTCAATAGAACATACATTTCAAAGAAAAGGTGTGAAGACTTACTCATGACGTAATGTATCTCGACTCTTCTTTCATAGTAAAAAAAAAGGTCTGATGCAGAAGTGCAGAAAAAGATTACACGGACACGTTTGTATGAAATACAGGTATATGGAATTGCATGGAATAGAAAGTTGAATACACAAATTAAGAATAAAGGAAGTAAACAGTATCATCAGTTCATCAGTAATAGATTATTTATTATTGTTTAAACTCAAGTAACGAATTCAGATGTGAATCTGCTTGCACAAAATTTGGCTAGCCAGCTTTCATTCTATAATTCCGCAATATATATGAAAAAAATTTTAACCTCCCTGACGTTCGTTACTTCAGGCAACGATACAAAGTAAACTTTGATGATGGCTGGTAAAATTGCGCTGGTGTAGTGGCTTCCATATTGAATTTTCATGAAGGCGATCTGTGTTTAATCCCGAATTTGTTTGCTTAAATTTACATTTTGAACTTTATAAATGATGTTGAGTGGGGTTTTTTGTTAGAGATGATAGAACATGATTTCTAGATTGGTGAAGGGACCTTTTCATGCGTCGTCGTTAGTTCCAGTCGCTTCCGGAAGTGAATTTAAAAAATCGATTTTTTCAATTTCAATATTTTTCTGTAATATTTGTAGGGTTAAGAGAGCCTCTTTTCAAAATATTAAATATATAATTTGTTTTCGAATTGATAAATCCAAACTCTTGACATTTTCGTCATTTTCACTTTGAAGCGGGAGTTGAAATGGCATAATGGTTAGCACGTTGGATTTTCACGCTGACAACCAGGGTTAAATCTCCAGAGTGTCTGAATTTTCTTTTACTTTTTCAGCTTGAATTTACATTTTTTATTTTCAAAATCAGATGGAAGACCTCTCATTGCTCGCAATGAGTTTCTAGTTATTATTATTTTTTCATAATAATAATATACATGTATCTCATATTTTTATTTTGTTTTTATAAAATGTAAATTATAATGTAGAGAATCTGATTGCATATTGAAAATATTCATTCAGTCTGTCATGTAAACAACTCAAACTTAGTAAGTGGTTAGAGTGTTTGCTCTAGAGTCATGAATAAAGAGTTGATCCCTATTCCATGGGTTCAAATCCCACTGCAGGACCTGGAGACTGGTCCTTAAGATGAGACCGTTTAAACCGAGGTCCTGTGTTGCAGTATATTCTGGCATGAAAAAGATATCCCTCACTGCTCAATGGCCCTGAGTGCCGCAAATAGGTCTAAATTTGCATTGTGTTCAAATTATCGACTGACCTAAGTCGATAAAAAATAGGTAGCAACTGTTCCTTCGCCAAGAACTCAGCACTTAGAAGTGAAAGTTGCAGGTCATTCAGATGAGACCTTAAAAACCGAGGCTCCATGTCACAGTAGGCGTTGGCACGATAAAGAACCCTCACTGCTTACTGGCCCTGAGTGCCAAGTGAAGGTCTAAATTTGAAGCCCTTTAGAGGTATGAGTGAAAAATTCTCCAATGGGACGTAAAACAATATACAATCAATCAATCAAACTTAATAGGGAAAAGACAAAGAAATTATATAATTGTTGTTTCAATAGCATGATCAAACTCCAGGTATTTCAACCCATTTACTATTACTCATATGGACTTGACAAACGTGTGTTCGGGAACGTGAGTATGATGTGGTATTGTTTACATTATCATTTGACATTTAATTAAATAAAAAATCAAGACTGTCACTTCTTGATATACCTGAAGTCCGGGAAAAGTCTTAGCAAAACCATATACAATTGCTCTGTGAGACTCCATATCGCCTTCTGTGAGTACTTCATCTGCTCCTTCCTTCGTTTTGCCTTTTGATCTGTCTGCCAACGTGTTACGTTCACGTATCTCGCGTACCCGAGTCCCACCTCGCTCAACAAGAGCGATGCTAACTGATAAAAGTTCCTTCAAACTTATCTTCTGCTCCTTCTGAAACCAATCTGGAAATCCAAACACATAAATCACCATACATAGTCCAAACGCAAAGCATGCAGCAGCCCCAACTGGATTCAATCTTGCATTCGCTGGACCCATTTTTGTTAAGACTAATAGACGAAATGACAGATACTGTTGATTAAAAATAAAAGACAGTATTTTTTTTTCCTTTCTAAGAGTTTATTATATAAAAGAAAAAATCAATGAATCAAAATTGATTTTTTATATTATTAAATTCAGTATTATCCTAATTTTTAAGGTTAATTTCTTTTTAAATATGACAAAGAAATTATTTCCCCCATTTAGTAAAAACAAGAAAAATGAGTTTTTCTTTATTTTCGTAATAATTGTTTTCGATGTGGATGATGTTTTATTCTTATAATCCTTCTTCAAATATTATCAATAAAATTTAAATTATTTTGGGGTGTAATTTTACATAAAAATTACATAATATTTTTTTTTGAAATTGTATTCGAAACTAAATGTAAACAGAAAAATGGCTTCAATGGAGGTAAAGTGACAGATTGTGCCAATTATTCATCTTCTTGATTCAATTATTTCAGCCAATCCCAATCAGTGATTCATATTTGTAATTTTAGATTATGCTTTACCATGTGTACGACATAATGCTAGAGAAACTTGGCATAATTAATTTATCTTCATTTTCGTTTTTCACTTATTCACAGCGAAGTTTAGACTTATAATTTTCCTATATTTTCTGAATCTCTTTTAAAAGATATAATAATAATAATAAATATTTTATGACTAACAAACAACTTAACTTTAAATTTAAGAGAATCTATTCCAGGAGACCATAAATAGATTAAAAATAATATACAGAAAAGAAAAGTAATCTTAAAAATGTATTTTGCCACCACCAATAAATTTGGTTAGATTAACTCTGTAAAACCTATTTCTCATATGTTATAATTGAAAATACTTCTTATAAAACAAGCTTATGTAGAAACACAGCTCTTAACAAGATTTCAGATCTTTTCAGGTCATCAAGATAGTGACAAACTTTTTTCACATGATCCTTAAACAATATGTTTTATAGTGATGGGAATCGGTAAGAATTTCATAATCGATGATCAGGCTACTGTAACTAACTAATTATCAATTATAATCGGACATTTACAAAGTCTGTCAATTTAGTATATTAAATGGTAAGAATGGGTGAATATAACTACTTTCTGTTGTGGTCCAGCTGTAGATAGAATAATCTAACTGTGTCTCAGAACAAGCCTTAGTCCGTAGGACAAAATCATTTTAACAAAAGAATGGTTTATCTATAATCCAACTGGTTCATCGTTCATTTTGTAGAATCCAAAGTATGTCCATACCTGGGAATGAGCGTTGTTACCCAGGTATGAATACAATGTCTGTTCGTCTGCGCCATTACCATGCACAAATAAGTTAACAGACAAGTTGGAGCTGGAATATTCAGCTTAAAAACTATTAATAAACTTTTTATTCCAATTAATTGGGTTATTTATTTTATTTTACAAGCATAATAGTATTATGCTTGTAAAATAAAATAAATAACCCAATTAATTGAAATAAAAAGTAATTGAGAGCTTGGATTATGCCAGCAATTGACTGATTTTCGATTATAATCAATGCTTAGAACAGCACTATTAATGTTTTAGTTATACTATTTCCACTTTATGCTACCAATCTTGAATGGTTATGTTGAAATTTATTGACTTATTGCCAGTTTATTTGAATTTTCTTGTACACATCATTTTTCAACATTTATGGTAGTTTGATAGGTTCTAAATCAACAGTGGCCAGATACATACATACATATACATACATACATATATATATCGATCGAACGTCAGAGTATCGAATACTAAAATCGGTACTTGGTTACTCGGATGTATATTTTTTCATATTTTAAAGTGCATATATTTATTAAAAACTTATATTTGAATTCGCATTGTCAATGTCTATACAGTAATTAACGTCACCTTCTCCAGTTAATACCCATTATTGCCTGTGTACATGTATAAACAGTAATTATCCTGCCCAATTACTTGACATTTACACAGCTGTCCTCACCTCTTGTGACCCTAATTTTTGGATGGCTTCAATTATTTGATTTCAATGTTTCAATCATTTAATTAGATCCATTAATTATCCTTAGATTATTTAATTAGCAATTTGCACCGACATACGTAGAAATACCACTACCAATTCAAAAGTGAAGAAATGTTTAAAAATAACCGAAGATTAAAAAATGTTATAAGTCAGCTGTGCATAGTAAATTTAGTGTATACGGAGGGAAACAACCATATATTTAAGGAATCACTGTCTAGTTTGTTGGGTATGCCAGAGTATCAAAGGCAGTTGGAAAGGATAATTTATGCATGACGGGTGAAGTTGTAAATTCTAGTGACAAGAAATTGTCATACTTTCAGAGTTATCACAAAACATTTGGAAATGTTAATAATATACGACTCGCGATCACGACAAAGATATTCTCTTTCCCTAGTCTAATCTTTACAAAGTTGCATCCTTCTCTTCCGTTGATCAAAATGTCTTCCCAAACAAGAACTGTAAAGCATTAATTTTGTAGTCATTGGTGTATAATTGATCATGTCTTTTGTGTTTGTTTGATGCATAAGTACCAAAAATCGTTATTGTTGGGCTCAATGTTTATGTACATGCATCATAGACGAGAAGAAACATTGACGGGGTAAACAGATTTCAATAAAATGAACAAACTTTTACATGTATACACACTTTTTCCGAGTACCCGGGTACTCGATCGGAAAATCGTCCGAGACCGATTATCAAATATTGACCGATTTGACATCCCTAATATATATATATATATATATATATATATATATATATATATATATATATATATATATATATATATATATATATATGTATATATATATATATATAGAAAGCACAAAGAAATTCACTTTTATAAGGATACCCACTTCCGCCCCAGCCCAGGGTTGAACTCTCGACATACGGAATCTGTCTCCTAGCAGTACAGGAACAGCGCGTTAGACCGCTCGGCTATCTAGGCAAGTCAAAAAACTTGCTTTCGATGCCGATGGAATTCTCACAGCGCTGCCCTACACTACACGGTCATTGAGAATAGAAGTGAGATACAGTTATTTGGACATTAGTTTTATTAGAGGATCGTTACCAATACACGTTGTAATGAAATTAATTTTACTTATAAAGCACAATATATATATATATATATATATATATATATATATATATATATATATATATATATATATATATATATATATATATATATAGTTGGTAGGTAGATCACTTGTCAAAAGTTCAGGAGGCCTGGATTCAAATTCTGGCCTGTTATATTGGGTGCTGTTTACCACTCCTGGACTTGCAGGTGAAAGTTCTGCTTGGGGAAAAAGAATCTGGGTTGGTGTCTTCAGAAGCTAAGACATTTAAGGAGGGAGGATATAGTAGTTAGGCAGGTCCAATTGCCATTGGCCAGATAACTCACATGGTAGAACATCTGTCAAAAGTTCAGGGATCTTGTCCATTTTCTCCCCACCTATTACAGATTCTTATCTCATAATTTCAACTTAAACAAAATTAATGTTGTATAGAAGGAACATATTTTACTTTTCCAAAATTAATAAGAATAATCTAACTGCACTATGTGATATGACTCAATGTGTTTTCCTTTGAAATCTACCAAACTGAAACAATAATCATGATACAGATTTTTCTGTGGATGTTTCTTATCATGCACATGAGCAAAACTGTGAAATAACAGCAACACATTTTTAGCAATGATGGAAATCTGTAATTGTATCTTAGATTAAGGAGTCACAAGAATCATTCTAACTACTGCTCTTATTAGTGTTTACTCACATTTTTATTTTTGATGAATTTAAGATAGATCTTGAATTATACTGTAACAGTATATAGCTACTTTTTGGCAGTCCCTCAACACAGTGAGATTATACACCCGTACAGCTGCCTGTAATTTAAGTCTGCTCTTTGACACAATTTTGAAAGAGGTAAATGGTAGTGTACTGAAAATAAGGGCCATAAAATAATCATAAACCTTTTTTAGCTCACTTGAGCTGAAAGCTCAAGTGAGCTTTTCTGATCACCCGTCTTCCGTCTGTCCGTCCGTCTGTAAACTTTTCACATTTTTGACTTCTTCTCAAGAACCACTGGGCCAATTTTAACCAAACTTGGTACAAAGCATCCTTGGTTGAAAGGGAGTTTAAATTGTAAAAATGAAGGGCCAAGTCCCCATCAAAGGGGAGATAATCAAGATAATACAAACATTGGGTGGGGTCATTAAAAAATCTTCTTCTCAAGAAGCACTGGGCCAGAAAGGCTGAAACTTATGTGGAAGCATCCTGGGGTAGTGTAGATTCTAAATTGTTCAAATCATGACCCCCGGGGGTAGGGCGGGGCGACAATAGGGAATCCAAGTTTTACATTGAAATATATAGTAAAAATCTTTAAAAATCTTCTTCTCAAGAACCACTGGGCCAGAAAGGCTGAAACTTATGTGGAAGCATCCTTTGGTAGTGTAGATTCTAAATTGTTCAAATCATGACCTCCGTGGGTAGGGCGGGGCCACAATAGGGAATCCAAGTTTTACATTGAAATATATAGTAAAAATCTTTAAAAATCTTCGTCTCAAGAACCACTGGACCAGAGAAGCTGAAACTTGTGTGGAAGCATTCTGGGGTAGTGTAGATTCTAAATTGTTCAAATCGAGACCCCCGGGGGTAGGGCGGAGCGACAATAGGGAATCCAAGTTTTACATTGAAATATATAGTAAAAATCTTTAAAAATCTTCGTCTCAAGAACCACTGGGCCAGAGAAACTGAAACTTATGTGGAAGCATTCTGGGATAATGTAGATTCTAAATTGTTCAAATCACGACCCCCAGGGGTAGGGCGGGGCCACAATAGGGAATCCAAGTTTTACATTGAAGTATGCAGAAAAAATCTTTAAAAATCTTCTTCTCAAGAACCACTGGGCCAGAAAGGCTGAAACTTATGTGGAAGCATCCTGGGGTAGTGTAGATTCTAATTGTTCAAATCATCGCCCCTGGGGATAGGGCAGGGCCACAATAAGTACTACGGGGGGTAGGGGGGGGGGGTGAGAAAAATCAGGTGAAAAACAGCAAGGCCAAAGTTACTCAGGTGAGCGTTGTGGCCCATGGGCCTCTTGTTTAAGCATTCTTATGTCTTTAAACAAACAAAATCTGTAGGGAAAAATTGGTTCATAATAAATTTATTCTTTCTACCCAAACCCAAAAGTCTTAAAATTGTTCTAATAAATTATTTTTTTAACTATTAGCATTTTATGTAATCTTGATTGCCATAATGCAGTGCACTGGAAGGACCACACTACCATTTATACCAGGAATATTAAATAGTGTTCTCTACCAACTTAGCAGATTTTTTACTTCTATCATTTTATTGAATAGAAAAGACTGCAAAAGGAACTACAAGCTTTATTAAAAGATCCCCCAAATGGTGTGAAGGTGGATGCTCAAAGTATATATAAAAATCTTTCAGAGTAAGTTTACACCTATAAATAATTTTTTTTTTATCACTTGTATATTGAACAAAATTCTTATGATCATGAATTTTAAGTGAAAATAATACATGTACATGTATATTTGGACAATGAATGGTAATTTTGCTTTTGGATTTCTAGATTGGTAACTGGTAAGTAAATATTTCTCGAGTATGTTGTGAAACATGTATAAAGTAATATTTTCTTTTATTGTGTAGATGGATTGTTGACTTGGATGGAGCCCCTGGCACATTGTATGAAGGAGAAAAGTTCCAGCTTGCTTTTAAGTTTGGGTCAAGATATCCCTTTGACTCTCCACAAGTACATATTTTGATGTCTTGAGCTGTATATTTAAGTATTTAACATATCAATTAAGATAGGGTGTCATGCTTGATAATAGTATTTACAATCAGAATACCATAGAGATTTGTGAAATGAAACTAATCCAGGCATTCTAACAAAGAAATTAAGTTTTGAAACTAAACTGGTAACTGCATACACAAAAAATACTGGAATCTCATTTTTGCTCCCATCTTTAACATATTCTATCAGTTGTACTATAGTAAAGATAAAGATATCATTAAAAAGTATTTAATGGACAAAACTGTATTAGAGGACAAAATTGTATTAGAGGACAAAATTGTATTAGAGAACAAAATTGCTGTTTATATGTTTTGACTATGAATGGAATGGTACCTGGCCAGCAGCTTTTATAAACAGCAAAGATGGTAGATAATTCTGTAACAGATTTACCCAACTCTTCTAAGTCTGTTTAATAAATTCGAATTGTACAATAATATATGTGTACTTCATTATCATTATACATGTATATTAATTCTTTCTAGGTTATGTTCATTGGAGGAAACATACCACTGCATCCACATGTGTACAGTAACGGCCATATATGTCTGTCCATTCTAACTGATGATTGGTCCCCAGCCCTCTCCGTTCAGTCTGTCTGCTTAAGTGTAGTCAGTATGTTATCTAGCTGTAAAGAAAAGGTGAGTACCAATCTGTCAAGATTCTGCAATTCCTGTTATCCTTCATGTTTCCATTAAATGTTTCACAATTTGAATGGTTGGGAAAACTATTGCTTGAAGATAACATATTGTGATTTAAAATGCAATTTTGAGCTTCCTATTGCTAGTAAATGTAATAGGTTTGTCAGGATTTTATCAGGTACATTTTATTAAAGTAAATAATGCCCATAGAAAGTGCTTTTTGTCAACAATTAAAATTTTTATTCTCAGACTTGATGGATTAGTGCAAGTGATAAACAAATTTTTTAGAAGCCACAAAGATTGACATTACTTTGAAATACTATAATATTAATTATCACAGGCACTTAAATAATATGAAAATGCTCATTACAAATAAATAACTTGAATTTAAAAAAAAAATTCTCTCATAAAATTGACAATCTATTGAAAAGTAAATCAAGATAATAAGCTAGGAAAGAAATAGCAATATACAGTTGAACTTCAGTATCTCGAACACTGAGATCTCAAATACCATGGATATGTCGAAGTGATTTAGAGGTCCCAACCACTTATTCTTTATGTATTTTACCCACGATATCTCAAATCTTCGGATATCTCAAAGTTTTTTCTTGATCCCATCTAGTTTGAGATAACGAGGTTTGACTGTATATTCAATGTGTGATAAAGATGCATGTCTGTGCACATTGTGCTTAATTTACATGTATATAACAACTGTGGTACAGTTGAACTTCAGTATCTCAAACACCAATATCTAGAATACCATGGTATGCAGAAGTGATTTTGAAGTCCCAACCACTTATTTTTTTAAGTATTATACCCTTGATATCTTGAATCCTTGGATATCTCTCAGTTTTTTTCTCAGTCCCGTTGAGTTTGAGATAACGAGGTTTGACTGTTTACAGACCTAACTCATACCAGTAATAGCCAGTAGTTTAAAATTTGCCTACCTTGTCTATATACTTTTATACATTACACTAAGGCAAAAATACCTATCTTGAATCTCTAGCTAGTTAATCTAGACAAAAAATGTTACTGAAAACTTACCCACCAGGTAAAAATTTTGGATATTTTTTGGTGCCTACCTTTATCCATTAAGCCTTTGAACAGAAGTCATCATTAGTTTGTGAGGATTATATGATTTTCTTTGCTTTTACAGAAAAGGCCTCCAGATGACTCATTTTATGTTAAAACCTGTAGTAAAAATCCCAAGAAAACAAGATGGTGGTATCATGGTGAGTACACTTAAGAAAAATTTTATACTAAATTTTTGATTACATGTTTATTAATTTGGTACTCTATATTATTTTAATGAAAGTATTGTAACAGAAATAGATTAAGTAGAAACATTAGTATTAAAAGTAGAGGCATTTTCTGCATTTATTCTGTAAACTCTACTTCATTTTGCACATTGTATTCATGGTTACTTTGTTTTGATGTAAAACTACCGGTATATGTTTTATCAATCAAATGCTTTTCAGATGACAATGTTTGATACAGTAACTCAAAAATGGCAAAACAGCAATAAACATTTGTGAAAGAAGAATAAATGGATATCAGCTGACAAAGTTCTCAGATAGTGAAGGATTTAATTTGTTTTGTTAAGAAAGAAATTATATTGTCTGTATGACCTCAACATTTGTTTATTTTTTAAAAGATATTTTTGTCAGTATATGTAGAGATAAGAAACAGATTACCACATTCCGTTCTTTTTATTGAGGCCAGGTTGTTCATTCAATTTAAAATATTTTATTTATTTGGAATAGAAAAATCTCTCTTTCCCTCTTTCAGGTCACATATTGTTTATACATTTTAAAATTTGTTAGTTTCAATTTAATGTAGTGTACAGCTACAGTTCAACTTCCTTACCTTGAACACTGCTATGTTTAGTACTTTGATGTTGTTGAAGTGAATCAACAGTGCCAACCTTATTATGAGAATGAATTTCAACCTGAATATCTCTACTTTGAATATCTTTAAGTTTTCTGATAGTCCTGCCATGTTTGAAATATCTAGGTTTGACTGTAATTATATCACTGTCATGTCTCTATGCCACTTGACAATGGTCAGCATTCAATTAAAAAAAATGAGTCTACCACTTTGATAATGTTGTACATTTTCTGAACAATGGTGTGCACTGAATGTCATATTTTTTGTGTTATCATACGTTTTCAGCAACAAATGACCTCACTTACAGGAAAGTTAAATCATTTAATTTTTTCTAAATAGAACAAACTTTAGCATAGAGATTAACTGAGTATATTACATCTTCAGTAGAAATTGTTGTTATTTTTCAATGAATTTCTGTACTTGTAAGTTTTGTTTAAAAAAAATTCCATTTCATTAGATTTGTTTTTCTGAAGGGGCTTGGTGTGCTGCTGTTATGTGAAGCAGTCACCCATCCAAGGGCTACACAGGCTTGTCATTGCTTAATTAACTTGCCTGATTCTGAGGAAGACTCCACTGCATAGAATTAGAAAAGCTAGCTCACTAGCTAGGCAGTATAAGTTCCCTATGTGCTGTTCGCTACACTTCCCCCAACTCGGGGAAGCGTCTACCTGAAGCTTAGCATGGGTTCTCTCTGAGTATCTCAGGGCTCTTCAGTAATGGCAATCAATGCCGTACACAAAGTCCTACCCCTAGAGCTTCATGAAGCAGGTCTGAGACCTTTTCAGTAATGAAAACCCGTGCCATTCAACAATACTAAGTCTGTAAATGGACACTAAGTCAGAGCTCTAAGGCTTTCTGAAGCAGATAGTCCAACACCGGAGTCACTATAGACTGCCACAAATTTTGTAACATGAAGCAGTCACCCATAGAAGGACTGTAGCTTAACTTGCCTGAAACTGAGGGAGGGCTGAACTGCATCACTAGAAAAGCTAACTCACTAGTGATACATAAGCTCCATATGTACTGTCTGCTATACTGCATATGAAGTATATAATATTGAGGTCAAACTATCTCTTATGGCTCATAGCAATGGCTTTCAATTAATTATTGAAAGAAAAATGTATAACACATATCGACATTGAAAATTGATGTTTATCTGCTTTGTAAAAATGTTATAGATATATAATTATTATTATACCGGGTATTCTTTAGAGAGATATTTAGTGTATCATGTTAAAGAATTGCTATGTCTAAGATTTTATGTGTAGTGTGTTTTATAACTTTGCATTGTTTTGTTATGAAACAAAATTGTTTTTGTTGCACACTGAAATCTAATTTTTTAATGTTACATGTATATCATTGCAAAATTTAGGAAATTCAAATTTGTACTGCTCCATTTCTGTTATTGAAACATCAGCTATTTAATGACACAGAATTTTAAAGAGAGAGTTTCAGGTCCCAAATCAAGGTCAAGTGATAGTATAGATCAAATTTTAAAATCTTTATATCTGAGGTATAAATTTTACTTTTTTGTTGAACTTCTCAATGAAACTGGGCCTGGAGACAAAAGGACATGGCACATTACAAGTCATGCCAGTATAAAAATCATGAATTAAGGTCAATTGTGGGGTTCAGATATCACCATACAAGTTTTTCAAAATGTTTATCGAGGGATTTTCCCTTAGTGTTGTCTTATGAAGGTGTCATATTTTCAATAAAAACAATTGTATTTTATTTTGTTTGGAAAGGAAATATATGAAAAAAAGAAGATTTTTTCAGTAGTTTTAATTTTGCTTAGATGAAGGTTTTCTGTAAAATTTGAATGTTTGGCAATTGTGAAAGTTTATAGACAAGCTATTATGAAAAGCTTTTAAATAAACATAACATTGATAGTTTTAGTTCTTGCCATTATGTTTACATGTATATAGTTAGCTAATGAGAATTCATTTACGAAGAGGAAATCTTTTTTTAAAAAAGAAAACATCCTCAACCTTCTTTTTGGACATGGAATCTCTTATTTTTAGAAATTAATGGGACAATTTTATTAGGGAGGGAGTTAAAAGACTCTGCATTTAAGTATTTGATACATTGTAGGTCATTTAATACAATTCAATACAATTTAATGCAGTTGACAATGCATAAGTACTCATCAATTATGACTTTTTGATGCATTCAGCTAATGCATTAAGGCATTGAATATTTCAGAAAGACAAAATTTAAGAAAATTGAGAATTTGATCAAATTAATTCATGTCAAATCCAATATCAAGTGAAAATCATGACCTCATTTGATTTTTAAAATGTTAATTAGTTACAAACAGGAATATTATGCATTGTAACTTTTATTAGTTAACAGCTAATGTGAGTTGACAACAGTTGTCTGTATCAAGTTCTGATTTGTTAAATGTTTATATTTTCAAGAATAAATAAAATGTCTTTCATTATATAAATGTTTAATGTAAGTTTTGGGAGTTCAGGATTGAAATGGCTGACAGTGAAATAAAATGGAGATCACTGTTATGCCCATGTGAGAGACTTTGCTCTGACAATAATTGAAATTAAATTGATCTCATATTGAAGTGGTAAAATTTTTTTGTTTGAATGGAACTTTTGGTCTTTCTTATAGAATGTTGGTTGTTACATAATAATACACCCATCTCTTTAGAAACGAGAAAGCAATGTTTTAAGACATCCCAGTATATGCAACACAAGTTTTGATGAAATGGGGATTTTTTAAAGTTAGAAGGGAGAGTGAGAGACACCCCGCTTCTGTAAAATCACATATTGCAATGTCAGATCGAATATGAAAATAATTATGTATTTATCAAGTTTAAAGTTACAGCATCAAACAAAATTATATAGACTTTCAATCTGATTGGCTATTATACCTAATTTAGAATACTTCTTGTACAGGTACATGTATTCGAATGGAATAATTTGCGACATTTTGAGGGCTCTTTCAGTGTAGACTGGGATTTTCTCTCCCACTCACCCCTTCAATGTGTTGTCTTTATTGCTTACATAGATTTGTCTTTTATTACTATAAAAAGAGATTAAAAGAAGATGCATGAAGATGCACTTGCAAGAACCCTTCTATACCTACAAACTTGTTATTTCTTTAATTATTATGAGTTTCGTTTGAGTTTAATCAAATAAGAACATAAACCTCTTTCTCCTTTCTGAAGAAATGGGCTTGTCATTTGTAAACACCATCATTCAAAAGAAATTAATTAAGCTCAAAACGTTTCATTCAAATGGAAAAATTTACACTTCAGTGTGCATCATTGCATCTTCATCTTGCATTTACTAGTAGGCTAAAGCATATTTGTAAAATTTACAAAGACTTATAACTATTTCATTAACTTCATACAGTTTATATAAATACCGTACATCTTAGTGATGGCATTACAACTTTTAGGCAGGTTGTATACTTCAAAGATTTTAGTCAAATGTCTGCTTTTATCTTAAAAAATAAGGGCATATTTGATTTAGATCCATCATGTGATGGATTATTACTCATCCATCACATGATATTTTAGCATTCTTAAAAAATCTTGCATTTTAAATGTTTTTCTCTGAGTCATCTCTCCATGACTTTAAAATGTTGTGTGCATTTGAACTTGAAGAAACAGGCAAAGACTTTTAAATCAGAAGTCTCTGGCAAGTGTACCAAGTCTTATTGAAATAGGATGAAAACTATAGGAGGAGTAATGTTTCAAAAGAATTTTCAAAAAAAATTCTTTTTTTTAGTAATCATGACAACTTTGTTCTTTGAAATCAAAAAGCAATGTATAGAATAATTATCCCAGTATAGTCTACTTGTGCATTGGGTCTTGAAAAATTAAAATCAGATTAAAACTGTAGGAGGAGTAATTTTTTAAAAGAATTTCAAAGAATTTTTTATATTTAGTAACCATGGCAACATCATTTGTCAAAAACTGATGCATAGTATGATGTGTCTTTGTATAGTCTACTTGTGCACAAAGTGTTATTGAAATTGAAATGATTCTTGAAGGAATAAAAAACTTTTATCTGTATTTGTATGGTGAACATTTTACAGGGGTGGGGGGGGTGGGGGAAATCAATGTGCTCTTAACTCGCTCATGCATTTTAAGAATTTAAACGAAATTTCTATTTTTAGTAACTATGGCAACACCGTTTGTCAAAATCAAAAAATGATATATATAATAATGTATAGTGCATTAATTCTCAAAGAAATCTGACCAAAACTGTATGAGGAGTAATGTTTGAAAATTTATTTACAGACAGACAGACAGCTAGACTGCTGAATGAACACCTTACTGATGCATAAGCTCTTCTGGGCTCCGTTTTACTAAATAACTGAGACAAAAGTTTAATTATGCAAATCTCTTCTTTTTAAATTAATTTGGATATCTTTTTTGATCTTTTTAAGAACCCTCTCTACACTGCACACTAAAGAGCTCTGATTCTGTGGTATTTTTCTGCAGTTAGAGTGATCTGCCCTTAGATCTAAATTCCAATAAAAAGAAATTTACAGAATATTACTCACTCTGTAATTAATTCAAGTATTCTTAACATTTTAAAATGCCAAGATAAATTAATTGAACACGTTATTTACCGTACATGCATTTTCTCCATGGTAGTAAACAACAGCGATTTCTGCTCACTGATACTGTGTTGTGTTTGAACATTTTCCTGGGGGTAAATGCCACATGCCATATATTGAAAATTAAATATATAAGCTCAATATTTACACCTTGATTCAATTTAATTTTCTTGATGTCCAAAAAACATTTAGCACTAGTGTAGAGAGGGTCCTTAAAGAGAATTTTGGAAGATATATACATGTGCTTCTGCAAATAATTTTAAAACAGAATTATTTACTTTACAAGATTTTACAAGCAACTCAAGGTTTTGGTCTTAGTCATAAGTTCTTCTGTAAAATGAGTCCCTGGTCTCTGACCAGTAGAGCTGAACAAGAGGCCCATGGGCCACATCGCTCACCTGAGCACAGTGAATAGGCAAAAGCACAAATCAGTTCAGTATTGAAAAGATTCCCGGGGGGGGGGGGGGGGGGCTTGAATTTTAAACTACCTGATGATGCTTCCATGTCAAAATAACAAATGGCTTTGTTGTACTTGAGAAGATTTTTAAAAAATTTTCTGATATATTCCTTTGTAAAAATTTGATCCCCCCTTGTGGCTCCTCCCTATCCCAGGGGTCATCATTTGAACAAACTGGAATCTACACTACCTGAGGATGCTTCCAAATCCATATGACTAAACATAGCTTTTCTGTTCTTGAGAAGAAATATTTTTTCTATATGTTCTTATGTAACATTCGATCCTCCATTGTGGCCCGTCCTACTCTCGGGGGTCATCATTTGAACAAACTTGAATCTACACTACCTGAAGATGCTTCCATATCAATATGACTAAACATAGCTTTTCTGTTCTTGAGAAGAACTATTTTTTCTATATGTTCTTATGTAACATTCGATCCTGCATTGTGGCCCCGTCCCACTCTCGGGGGTCATCATTTGAACAAAACTGAATTTACACTACCTTATGATGCTTCCATATCAAAATGACTAATCATGGCTTTGCAGTTCTTCATCAGAAGAAATCTTCCTATATATTTCTATTTCAGACTTTGATCCTCCATTGAGGCCCCATCCAACCCCAGGGGGGCAACATTTGAACAAAATTGAATCTACACTACCTGAGTATACTTCCACATAAATATGATCAATCAGGGCTTTGCTGTTCTTGAGAAGAAGATTTTTAAAGATTTTTCCCATATATCTCTATGTAAACTTTTATCCTCCTTTGGGGCCCCACCCTACCCCCAGGGGTCATGATTTGGACATACTTAAATCTACACTACCTGAGGATGCTTCCATATCAATATGATCAATAAGGGCTTTGCTGTTATTGAGAAGAAGATTTTTAAAGATTTTTCCTATATATTTCTATGTAAAACTTTGATCCTCCAT